TTCTTTTCCAGGAACTTAGCAAGCAATTATATTAACATATTTTTCTGGTCCTTTTACTTTTCTATAAAATGTTTGCTTGTGTAAAACTCTATAAATGACATCGACAAATAACGCTTCATAGTTTATTTATATTAGTATTAGAACCGAGTCTGACATTGAAATGTTATTAGTTATTAACTGCACGAACAACAGTGTCAATGTCGAACCGATAATTAAGTTAATAATAAAATAAAAAAGGTACAATACTTTTCTATCTCTAACTGTGATCACTTTTTATTGGTACGAATCGATAACTTTATTTCAAGTATATATATCTTATCTTATTTACTAATATTAGGGGTTAAAGTATGAAATTGCCGTTTTATTGTAATAGGTTCCTTGAATTCACATAGAATCTTCATGGTTTGTGGTTTTCGAAAGAAACTTTTTTCACGTGGTTTCTATGATGTTCTTCTTTTAAAAAATGTGAAACATTTGAATATCGACTTTCAATTGTTTTTGTTATTCAACTCAGACAAGAAAGATGGATACTGCGTAAATTCGAGTGATTTTTGAATACGAGTTCCAACGCGGAAGTAACGCGACAGAAACAGCTCGCAATATCAATGTTGCGTTTGGAGAGGGGATTTTGGTTTAAACGCTTTCGTAATGGAAACTTCGACTTGAAGAACGAGCCACGAGGAAGACCGCCCACACGAAGGTGAATAACGATGAATTAAGAGAGATGGTGGAAGCCGATCCTAGTCATACTACCCAAGAATTAGCGAAATGTTTTAACCATTACCTTACTTACAATATTGACTCATTTGCGTCAAATCAATAAAATAAAAAAAAATACAAAAAATGGGTGCCTCATGATTTGACTGATCTGCAGAAAGTAACTTGTGTTGAAACTTGTGTTGCTTTGTTGAATCGGTACAGAAATATAGGAATATTGGATCGAATTGTGACATGTGATGAAAAGTGGATTTTTAATGGTAACCGTAAAAGAAAAATGCAATGGCTGACCCCAGGTCAAACGCCACAACAGTGTCCTAAAGCAAAATTTACCAATAAGAAGATAATGGTAACTGTTTGGTGATCTCAGCATGGTGTTATTCACTATTGTTTTCTTCGATCTGGTCAAGCAATAACGGCAGATGTCTATCGTGCAGAACTCCGAGAATTGTCGGCAAAACTAGCAGTAAAACAGTCCCGACTCATGAATCGATCTTCATCGTTATAGTTTTCTTCCCATGAGACAGTACAAAATGCTTTCATACAGTTTGTGTAGTCTAGATCCTCAGAGTTCTATCGTAAAGGTTTCCTTTTAGATTGCGGCATATTATCTATACATTGCTATGTTAACTATTTTGATTAAATAAATATGATAAATATTAAAAATAATCAATTTTGATTTTCAGTAAAAATCGGCAATTTCATACTTTAACCCCTATTATTATAAAAAAGAAGGTTTTGGTTTTTTTTTGCGTTGATGAGGCTTCGTAATCACTGGGTCGATTTGAAAAATTCTTTCTCCTACGGAAAGCTACGTCATACGCGGCTATTAAGGTCTATGATTTACGCAGGCGAATTTATTTAACTTATTGAACCTAATTTTAAACACATTTTGCTCGTTGTTAGTTAACTCGTTTCTAACTTCAGACGTATTCGTAGATTTGAGAAATTATTTAAGCTGGACTGACTCCGTGAAGGATTAAAGCCAAATTGCGTATCTAAAATGGTTTTTAATTAATAGGTATTTGCAAACTACTACGATAATGGTAAAAGTATTTATTGTATATAACCTGCAGCTGCAATGTTATAATTACTTTGCAAAATTGAAAAATAGTGAAGTTCAGTCGACTTAACGATTTTTTTTGTTCTATTGATAAGAAATATAAATTCACTTATTGGATATTTTAGATATGACTAAATTCTTAAAAATATAATAAAGTTTTCACTTTTTTAATTACAGTTTAGTCTGACGTTATTTCATTGTACAAACCAGTTCGGTGAAGAAAATTCGGTGTTCGCACCTTCCTAAGTATGTAAATATTCTGCTTAATAACTAAAAGCTACTTGTAGTTAGGTACATTTGGTAAAAGAAGGAAATACAGTAATATAATTCAAAGGAAAATTTTTGTAACACAACAAAAGTTTTGTTATTGATTAAAAAGGGCAGTGATTTTATTGTATCTTTAACTTAAATTCGTTTGCCTTCAAGGCTTTCTTTTGACATGCCCAAAATAGGTGGCAGGCGCAATCGCCTGACAAGAGACGTTACTCAAACAATATTCGAAGGTTAAACTAGTGTGTCGTTGCGGTCGATTGTTCTAAACGCACGTTGTAAATGACATGTGAATAATTGAATATATATGTCAGCTATGTCACGACAGGGTGCTATTTTTTCGATGACGAAACGATAATTTTAATTCTGCACTGATTTCTACACAATTATGTAAGATGAAACTTATTTTAAAATTGCCAAACGAAACAAGTTTTGAGTAGAAATCTCATGAGTTAATTCATAGCCTAGCTCACCAAATATAGACATCGTTGATTCATTAGAAATAAAAATTCTCAACGATGTATGTGTTTTAACTAAGTTTTTGTCTAATTACCTTCTTCTTTATGTTGGCAGATTTTTTTATTATATTAGATATTCAAGAAACTTGCGATGTTTAATATTTAAATAGCGAATAAAAATTTAAATAAATTGTAATTAAAATCACATCATATTGCTTTAATAATGTTAAACTAAACTTCGTGTCTCTAGTTCCAATTCTGTATCCGACTTTTTCGCAATTAAAATTTGAGATAACGATAAAAATATGAAGCTTTTTATTTCGCACTATATGCCATTTTCTGTCACTATCTGTTTCATAGACAGCGAGGTGGTAGGACATCAAAAGAAAATATGACAACTTTTCAGCTTCAGGCACACTTTTTACTTCATCAGAGGTTTATAGGAATCCATAGTAAACAAGGGGCGCTTATAGTTTGGCCATGTCCGTCTGTCCGTCCGTACGTCCGAGGTTTAGCTCAAAAACTATTGGTACTAGAAAGATGTAAGTATACGACGATAATTACGCCGAGAAAAGGGTAAAGTAAATTTTCGAAAAAATAAATATTTTGGGTACCTTCCCTATATGTAAAGTAAGATGATAATTTTTCGTCTATCCCATAGATTGGAGCATCATTGTATAGGTCCCTTCACAAACATTTAGGGTGTGGGAAGGTTGTTTTTCGATTTAGTAAACGGTTTGTGACTTATTAAACTATAAAGAGCAATTTTTTTTAAAGTTAAAGTGTCCCTCCCTCTACCAACTAAACGGCTATTGGTAAAAAATTTTGTGCGCGACTCACACTTGGTCGGTTTTTTTATATTAAACTTAACTACGCACTTTAATATTTTAACATTGTGGAGTGTCTTACGACTATTCATATTCTCCTTTGTCTTGACCAACTTAGCTATAAAGTAAATTTTCCAATTTAAACGGTCTTCAATCATCCATAATTATAGGAATAGGTATAAAAATATCCAAATGATGGGTTAGTTCTCTTTGCAAGCTGAATTATAAATTGTTATTTCACTGAAATTTCAAGGATTGTAACTAATAGTAGGTAGTTAATAACAGGCATTTGTAAAATATTTTCCAATAATAATAATATTGATATTTTTGTAATGTCAACTTGCTGCTAACATTTTGTTAAATGAAATCCGTTAGTAGCGACTAACATCAACAGTAACGACGAAAGGACTCAAAAATAAAATGAGATGCAATTCTGAAGAAATGTTTTAGTAACTGATTGAACTAAGTAATTTTTTTATAAAATATATTTATAAATAAACAATTTTTTTCTGCGGTAAAACATTTTGTAATCCTGTATTATATCTATCATGGAGTCCATAATATGGACAAAGTGATAATTGGACATTACAAATAATGCCCAAGCAGTATGAAAATATCAATGTAATGGCAATATAATAAAAACTATAGAAATAATCAAATTGCCAGAAATTGGGCAGAAAAATTAAAATGAAGTTTAATAAAATTAAAGGCTATATCGAAAAATATGCTTGGGAAATGTTTGGGTGGATTGCCTGAACATTAACAAAAATGCGCTCTGTAGTAGCCAAAAAGAAACAAGTGCTTGAGAAATTCGACAGCCCTGTTAGGTCCTGGGTGGTTAGAGCAGTCGCCCAGATTATGAAAGGTCGTGGGTTCGAGTCCCATCTCAGAGTGCCAGGGACGAAGCGGATTTTTAAAGCATTTTTCATTAAGAAAACTAAAGATACTATTTTTATTTTAATAGTATAATCAGCTAAGCTAGAATAAGCAACCATATTTTCTTTATTGACAATATAAAAGAGGTGTAATTTATGTCATACTTAATTGAATTGTAAAAATTGTTTTTCCCCATAGGTCACATGGTATATAGGTTAGAAATTTAATACGATTGCTGCGCTATGCTTCTCCACACCACGGAAATCTCATGGCCTATAAAAATAGTTACTATGAAGTCTTGGCTTTATGGATTCAAATGTTTTTGTTTACCAATAACGAGTTTCTTCTGTATAGTCAGTTGATGTCCTTCCCCATTTTTTCTCCACTCCGTATCCCGTACAATGTACTATGTATTATATTATGTATTTTTATTAGATGGCCCGAATACCATATATGAATATTTATAATATCAGAGCAATGTGATAATTAAGGGAGTTCACATTATAATTATTTATTTTGCCCTAAGTAGTTTGTCAATATTGATAATCAGCGGGCATTATATGTTGTCACTTGGTCCCTAAGATATCCATAATTTTGCTGATGCTTATAAGTTTAGCTTTCCCACGATTTCACTTTCGTAAATTATAGACTTTGTTACCCGCCTATGATGTAGCTTGTCGTAAGTGAATGAATTTTTAAAATCATTCCATTAATTTTCGAGCCTATTTTCGGAGCCAATCAAATGTATCGTCTGTAGAATATTTGTATAGAAAAATCATATCTTTGCAGGTACATTTCGAAAGTTAAACAATGAAAATGGTTCCCGTTTGTGATGTCGGACGTGTCTTCTTTGTCCCCTACGTCGCCTAGCTGCGGCATGGATAAGTATGAGCAGTTAGCAGTGGTGAGCCTCTTTTATATAATCCATGTTTATAAATGGCAAAGTGTAATTTGTTAGTTGCATGGCATACCATGCTTATAATATACCACATGGCATTTACCTATTAAAATATTTAAGTTTATAGAGCAAAACATTGCTAGTTATGAAGTTAAATATCAAAATATGTAATTAAAACACTCCGTTTACTAGTAGAGCAAAACTCCGTTCTTATGTAAGAGCTTTCTAGCAAGACAGATACCAAATTATTATATCGTTAAGCTGATCCATTCACTCAGGATATGTTTCATTGTTGTTTTGTGACAGGTGGGCGAGGGTTCTTACGGCGTTGTACTAAAGTGTCGGCGGCGAGACAATGGACAATTGGTGGCCATTAAAAAGTTTCTTGAGACAGAGGATGACGCTGCTGTCAGGAAGATGGCCCTCAGGGAAATACGAATGCTCAAGGTATCAATGACACAAAATAATATAATAAGGTAAAATAACATTTCATGCAGCTTTTATAATAATTGTTTGTACCTTTGTTGTATTTAAAAATGCAATAAAAAAACAAACTCGCATGCGGATGCATATTTTTGCTTTTTGGTGTTACATAAAATTTCTAAATTATCTGTAGCTCGTGTACATAAACGCTTTTTCCCAGTAACTATTGTTTTCTTTCAAATTCACTATTGATCAGCAACTACATCATCTGGTACATATTGGTGGAGGTTCTTGCGTGATTTACTTTAGTTATTTTTAATCAAAATTCAAAAGATGAAGACATTATGCGAATGTATACTGTAGTTACAGGTAGGTAGTTTGTTTCATTCATCGTTTCTAAGATCTTTTCCATTGTTTTAGAAACTTCGACATGACCATTTGGTGAACATGATCGAAGTGTTTCGTCGCAAGCGACGGTTCTACCTAGTCTTTGAGTATTTGGATCACACATTGTTAGATGAGCTGGAGTCTTCACCGGGTGGTCTAGGCGAAGATAAGGCTAAGAAGCACCTTTATCAGCTTCTGAAGGGCATCGATTACTGCCATCACAATTCTGTAAGCCTACTGAAATTGTTAAACTATTCGATTTTAAAATAAATCGAGTTAAGAGAAAGCTGCATAAAAGGAAAACCTAATTGTAATCAGGTTTTATATAACTAGCTGTTTTCTCGCATACGTATACTTACAATTAAACTATAGCCGATGTCACCGACGTATGATGTAGCTTCCCTATTTTTATAATTAGTCTAGTATTTTCAGAGCCTAAATGCAAACAAACAAACTCAAATATTTTCTCTTTGTAATATGGCAGCTGTGTAGAGGTAGAGTTGGGGCTAGAATTTGTGCAGTTCTGATATTTATGATATTTAAGTGAAAACTTGAGCTTTGTTGTTCAGATAATCCATCGTGATGTTAAACCAGAAAATGTTCTGGTATCAAACGCGGGAGTGGTGAAGCTGTGCGACTTAGGATTCGCACGTGCTCTAGCTGCGCCCGGAGAGCCTTATACGGAATACGTAGCCACCAGGTGGTACCGAGCACCCGAGCTGCTCGTCGCTGAACATAGGTCAATAAGTAAACGAGTTTTATAATATATCACGACAAAAAAACAAATTATAAATATTTGACAACATCACATACACATCTCAGTTTCCAAGATGAGTAGCTAAAGCTTCCGTATTATGGAGTGTCTACGACAATAAAGGAACCACAACGCCCAGACCCGCAACAATATAAAAAAATATATTTTCTGCCAATGCAGATCCTCAGAAATAGCAACACCTTGAAACCGGCATTAATATCTGAGAAATAATATGAAATTTACAGCGCGTATGCAATTAATAGTTTCGGAGATACGGTGATATGTTTCTGGAACTGCTGATAGTATAATAATAGTAAGCCTTTATTTTTTCCAACAACCTTACTTAACATGCTTTTCTTAAATCTACATATATTTATAATTCTATTATTGGAACCCCAGGTAGGGTATAGGCCTCCTCCAGCTTATTCCATATTTCTCTATTCTTTGCTTTTCTTCTCCAATCTTTTCCTGTTATACTTATTATTTCGTCGATCCTGCTGATAGTATAGTCGGCTGAAAACGCTTTCCAAAGTATCATTAAATTTAATTTTTTAAATATTCATAAGTTAAAATGGTTCATATTTTTCGAACATATAACAAAAATCTGAAGTTTCACTTGGAAGACATAAGCATATTCGAACATCAACATTACACTAATAGACTTCAGAACATATTTTAACAAATGCTGTGTTGAATGAATTGTTTAAGCTACACGTTTAATGAAATCGCTTTAGTATGTAATGAATATTACTATTACCAAATATTACCTATGAATATTTCTATTTTCAAGTTAATAAAAAATTGTCCTTAATTTTAAATTCCACACTATTGTTAATTACTCCAGATATGGTCCAGAAGTCGACATTTGGGCGATCGGGTGCTTATTTTCGGAGATGCTGACGGGGGATCCACTATTCCCTGGAGATTCTGACATTGATCAGCTCGCTCTTATTATAAAGACTGTTGGTAAGTTTATACTATGCTATGAGTAACTTAACATTAAACCTAAATTATAAGGCGGTAAGAAATAAGCAGTATCAACTATTTTCATTAAGTTTATTATTGGTTAAGTCACATGGCCGTGGGTGTCACATCGCGGGAATATGGTGATGGATTTAATTATTTATTTGTTCAGGCAAGTTGGCGCCTCGGCATCAGCAAGTGGTATCACGACTCGCGGGTGGCGCGGCGCTCGCGGGGGCGGAGGCTCGACGAAGCGTCCTGCCTGGCGTAGGGCTAGCGCGGGACCTGCTCGCCGCTTGCCTGAGGACTGAGCCTCGTGCACGTCCTCAAGCTTCCGCGCTTTTGAGACACAAGTAATGTGTACACGTAATCACTGCAAAACATTAGTATTGTGCTGACTCATGACGCAGCGACATATGTTTCAACGCAATAACAGTTACTCGGTGATCAACTTCTCGTCGTGTGTTCCCTTCTTAAAATTTTCCTCGGTTCCCAATGTTGTAACCTGCTCAAACTGTAGGTAAATATTATTACGCTACTATCTACTAACAATAGTATTCCTAGACAAGTTTTCTCAAATATGTTGTCTTATGATTTTAAATGTATTTAAAGTTGCAACCTACTAATTTTTTATAGGTGAAAAGTTCTTTAACATCATAAACTTAAATCTTCTAAGTAATAAAGAAAGAAAACGATTAATTATCGTAGTTACGTTTCACTTTTTCAAAAGCAGTATTTAATAAGTAAATATTTACCTACAGGACCTACCTAATCGATATCGATCTCGTTACATTTATGTTAAAATATAAAAATATACGCATAAGAATTTAAGATCTTACGCAATGGATATTAAACTTAATATTTAAATATTAAGTCTTATCTTACTTTTTTCAGATATTTTACAACAGATGGCTTTGCGGAAAATTTTAATGCGGAACTTAGAAAAAAATTAGGAAAGGAAATAGAGGTGAGCATGATGCATCAAATTGGTTAATAAAAAATAAATATTAAAACTTTAAATAGATATCCTTTTAGAAAATAATATAAAAATAATCTTCTGGGTCTTCCAAACTGTTTCAGATTTTTTTCAATAAGCTCTGTCATAAGAATTAATTGAATTTAAACTTTAAGAAAAATTTTCTAAAATCATCATCGAAATGGCACAGATTTCCTCAAAAACATTTTATTTTACGCAACTAAAGTACGACTTTATATAATAATATATTACTGATAAAAAAAACGTATAACCTATTCCCTGTCCTTATTACATAACTAATAATATTTTTTTCATAACTCATTAATAATTTGACAGACACCACCTGCTGAGCCGAGCGCAGCGCGGGCCACTGGCAAACCAAGACATCAGTGGACCCTTAATGTCATATCGGTGTGTAACTTATTAATCAGATTTTGTTCGCAACTTGTGCGCATGGGCTATCGAAGGTATTCCCTTCGATAGCCCATGAGCATAAGTTAGTTGATTCGGTCGCCGATCCTATCGTTTCTATTGGTATTTATACAGTCCAGACATAGGATTCCCCACTATGAAGTAAATCACTCACCTCAACACCGACAGCTTCCGGATACAATGGATCCGATTCCCGATAGACTAGCCAAAGTACACAGTAGTGCACAGGTTTCCAAATAAACTGCAATCGTCTTATGTATGGCAAAAACTGTTCTTTGCAATATTTATAAACAATTAAACACAAAAGAATAAAAATATTCCGATATGTCACACCGAAAACTGATAATTTGAACAACAATAAAGTTTTATCAAAAACTAGAAGGTGAAGCGAATGCTTCATCCTACGCGAGCTTCTCGAGTTATGTGGGACTCTCCCCTGTGGACCCACCCCCAGAATGGGGGCTAGTCAAAAAGCAGAGGCATACCCACTAAAACCTAGACCTGACTACGCAGGCGGCACACGGTATGGGTCCCAAAGCGACCATATCCCGCGCGATCCACCTACGTTTCGACTCACATCTTGTGAGGCGGGTCCCACCACGGCTTATAGCCTGATACAAATAGCAACTTCCAGTATGGAGATCAAACATTAAAACATAACAGCTGTTTTTTTTTATTATGAAGGTATCATATATTTCCTTTTTAAAATATGAATTAATCCATCGACATTTTCTTTCGGATTATTAGTAAAAAAAATAATATTCCTTTAATTTCTCAATGGCATGATAAGCAAAATACATATAAAGTGACTTCTACGTATTTTTACGTTGTTACTTATATTACTTCCATGAAATACATAAATTCTCCTAATATTATATTTGGAAACTCATATTTTTATAGAAACACGGACAATATATATTTAAAAAATATTTGTAAAAAAATCAATAATATTAACAATGAAATACGACTTCAATCGATATTACTATATTGCGTTAAGTATATTTTGTTTTGAATCCAATGAAAATTTCCATGGGAATATTGCATACCAACAGCCTTGTAATTATTTATGAAGCAAAAATATAACACGCTATATATGCAGCAGACTTTTGAGTCAAACACGTATTCTACTAAATATCATTAAAATCCACTCAGAAATACTTTAAATAAAAGTTTTATCATATTAAACTACTACAAAGGGCTTGCGGAGAAAGCGCGGGGTGCGGAACGTAAGGTATGGCATGATCCAGAATGCTTAGTGTGAGTTTTTTTGATGTTTACGTTCACTGTCGATCGTGAGCGCGCTAAGATTTTAGTATAGAACTCGGTACAGCGCCTCTAGCGGTAACTACCAAGAAGTATAAATCTCCATACAAATTCTTAACGCACTCACTAGTGAACGCGTTAGCGTTAAACTTACACTTACCACTCTGGCATAATAGGTGTCTCGTAATGTTGCCAGTTATATTAAGCTTATGACAAAAAAATGATTTTGCAATAAGCCAACCTTAATACCTCATTTTCTTATTTTGGTAAACAAGAAAGCTGATGTCTTTCTTTACACTACCAGGAGCCTTAATGCCACAGCTGTAAAGATGGTTAATTAATTATAACTACAGATAATTAATTTTTTAAATAAAATATATTGGATTAAAATATATCAATATCTTGTCGGTGTAAAGTATCTTGCTGTCGAAATTGCACCTGTAAAAAATGTGGTATGCAATGTACAGATTTGTGCACTTACTGCGTAGGAAGAGATTGTCATGGAACATTAAGAGCCATATGACAAATTTTCACTATGTGAGATTAGGTATTTTGAAGCGTTCTGAGTTCTCGATAACTTGTTCAAGGTCACGAGTCCACAATACTATGTTGAAACTACGACCAAGCTATTTTGATACTTTTCCCAATTTTTGTATTTTTTTTAGTATTTCTATGGTGAGATTCATTATCGATTCCCGAATATTTAAACACGACTGCTCTCGAAAATGAGTCTATTGTTTTTAGAATTAATGTATGTATGTGAATTTTTTATTGCACCATAACATTTGAAAGATATAACGGATATGAATGTATAGGGTATCATTAGAAACATCATCCTAAGTTCCTATGATGACGACCATCTTCGATTTGTTATTTGTCATAGTGTACCTATTGTATTCTATTTGATATCCGTATTGAGGGAGTCATGACAAAATATGTAGGTAATCCAACATTTTGTGGCGGCGGCCATCTTGTATATAAAATTTTGTCATAGTATACGGTCAAGCCCTTTTGTTTGATATCCGTATTGATGGAGTCGTGACAAAATATGTAGATAATCCAACCTTTTTGGTGGCGACCGTCGTTGATTTGAAATTTGTCATAGTTTTTAGTATTCAACTACTCAAACCCTTTTTTTTGAAATCCGTATTAAGGGGGTCGTGACAAAAAATGTAGATAATCCAACATTTTGTGGCGGCGGCCATCTTGTAAATAAAATTTTGTCATAGTAAACAGTATACTATTCAAGCCCTTTTATTTGATATCCGTATTGAGGGAGTCATGAGAAATAAGTAGGTAATCCAACATTTTTGGTGGCGGCCATCTTCGATTTGAAATTTGTCATAGTGTTCAGTATTCTACTACTCAAGCCCTCTTATTTGATACCCATATTGATGGAATCGTGATAAATCCGACATTTTGTGGTGGCGGCCATCTTGGATCGATTTTCATCAAATAAATTTGACATAGTGAAGAACACTCCCAACTAATACACCTTTCAAACAAAAAAAAAAACGAAATCAAAATCGGTTAATCCGTTCGGGAGCCATGATGCGACAGAAAGACACACACAGACAAACACATACGTCAAACTTATAACACCGCATCGTTTTTGCGTCGGGGATTAAAAATATATTGAATTTAGAAAAAGTTGTTTGATATGCGGATCTCCGATAAATTTGATATCGGTCGAATTGCATCGAGCCATAAATCTAAGTTAATCCTTATTACGTAAGTCAACTTCTAGTGAAAGTCCCTTCAAAATCGGCCAAGCCGTTTCAGAGATTAGCCAGAACTAACAGACAGACGAGATAAAAAATATTATTTTTGTATATGTACCATGTATACACACAAATGTATTTAGTGAAAAGCGGTTATTTTAATATTACAAATATGCACTCCAATTTTTATGTACTAGTATAAGTGTATTGAGAGAAGAAGTACGTTGCTTTTTTTGCATTTCTTAATATAAATATATATTTTAACTTTCTTATACAAATATACCTAGGGGTTTTTCGACCCATGCTGAAAATAACATAATATATATATAACATAATAAATAAATGTGTGTTAGAAATAATTCAACAAGCTATATAAATTCCATATAAATCGAACTTCGTGACCAAAGTTGGAAATCCCACTATACTGCTCTATTAACGCTCGCTCAAACGTATTTTGATCGAAAATGGCGCGAAGTTATGCGACACAGGTCTAACGTTGAGGAGCGCTCGCGCGGTACTGAGCTCAGACGGCCGCTGCATCTTATTTTGTAGTGATTTTGCGTTTACATTTATCGTATTTATTGAAATAATATAATAAATATATGCTTTAAAATTATAATATCTTTGTTCCTTATGAAATAGTCATTAATCTGGTATAAATTTTGTTAAATAATATTGTTGTAGCTAAGAGAAATTCAAAGTTAACTTCAAGCAATTTTTTATGTTTTTTGGTTTATAATATGATTGTTTTTCTATATTTAATCAGTGCTATTTCAAAATTTCGACGCTACTGTTTACTTTACGACTATAAAAGATATATTATTCTATTTCTTTTATTTTGTTTGTTAAGAACAGTAGCTCAATCCAGGAGCTCAAAAAAGTGTCTTTGCGCGTTTTATGAAAATCTTTCTCTGGTATTTTGGGTTTAATTAAAAAGATGAGCAAAATTTCCAAAAAGTTGGGCCATTTATTTCTATACCAAGAGTTATTCTTCACTATTCAACAAGTCAAAATTATTAATTTATTCGGCGGAAAGTTAGGTTGATCATCATGCGTCATCTGACTAGTATTCGAGATATTCTTTCGAAATAAGATCACAGATAGATCACAAACCAGTTATTTAATTGAATTTATTAGTTGTCTAATCGAAATACATTAATAATAACGTGATGCAAACGGATTGCGATACGAAACGCGGAGAGTTCTGCGCTTGCGTCCGCTCAATATGGCCGCACAACGTAAAGTGCCATCTTCGAACAAGCATAGACCACTCCCAAGCGATGACAGCCGTCAATGTCATAACTTGACGTTTCGCATAGCACCATAGATCTTGACAGATGACAGCTGCAGGTGACAGATGACGTTTCGCACAATCGATGTTATTTTCAGCATGGGTCGAAAGACCATAAGACCAGGTGTATTTGTATAAGAAAGTTAAAATATATATTTATATTAAGAAATGCAAATAAAGCAAGGTACTTCTTCTCTCAATACACTTATACTAGTACATAAAAATTGGAGTGCATATTTGTAATACTAAAATAACCGCTTTTCACTAAATACATTTGTGTGTATACATGGTACATATACAAAAATAATATTTTTTATCTATCTGTCTGTTAGTTCTGGCTAATCTCTGAAACGGCTTGGCCGATTTTGAAGGGACTTTCACTAGAAGTTGACTTACGTAATAAGGATTAACTTAGGCTTATGGCTCGATGCAATTCGATTGATATCAAATTTATCGGAGATCCACATATTAAACAACTTTTTCTAAATTCAATATATTTTTAATCCCCGACGCAAAAACGACGCGGTGTTATACGTTTGACGTGGCTGTGTGTCTGTGTGTGTGTGTGTGTGTGTCTTTCTGTGGCATCATAGCTCCCGAATGGATGAACCGATTTTGATTTCTTTTTTTTTTGTTTGAAAGGTGTATTAGTCGGGAGTGTTCTTCACTATGTCAAATTTATCTGATGAAAATCGATCCAAGTTGGCCGCCGCCACAAAATGTCGGATTACATATTTTATCACGATTCCATCAATATGTAGAATACTGAACACTATGACAAATTTCAACTCCAAGATGGTCGCCATCATAGGAACTTAGGATAATGTTTCTAATGATACCCTATACATACATATCCGTTATATCTTTCAAAAGTTATGGTGCAATAAAAAAAACTCACATACATACATTAATGCTTAAAACAATAGACTCCTTTTCGAGGGCACTCGTGTTAAAATATTCGGGAATCGATAATAAATCTCACCATAGAAATACTTAAAAAATACAAAAATTGGGAAAAGTATCAAAATAGCTTGGTCGTAGTTTCAACACAGTAATGTGTACCCGTGACCTTGAACAAGTTGTCGTGAACTCGGAACGCTTCAAAATACATAATCTCACAGAGTGAAAATTTGTCATATGGCTCTTAACAAATACAAAGATTATTTTTGTAACTAATTGATTATTTATTTATCAAGTAAGTACCTATTTAACAACACAGATATATAAATAGGTAATGGATACATCGCTCGTGCCTTGAACGCGCACACCACGAGCCATTTTTATTTATTTATCTTTGACAAGCCAATCAATACTAGGCCGTATAACTATAATCTTAAGGATTAAAGTAGCTTACACGCTATTGCATGTTTTTCGAATTTTCTATTATTTGCTTAAAATTGTGTTGGATTAGGATACCAGTGCTTATAATTCGATATTTTTTTAAAAGTCTGCTATCAATATCCTCTGTTATTATTTTGCCTGTGCTTAAAAACAGGGTTGATCTTGAAACCCAACTACCGAAAAGATTTTTGGTTGGATACAATATAATTCGCGATCGATTTTATTGTCCTAATACAAAACACTTATTACATAACTTATATATATTTTTTTCATGATTATAATATGACTAGAACAAAAAAAATAAAGTTTAATAAAAATCAGTATTTCCTGTAAATTTTTTAGTTGGATTTCAGTAATTTTCATTGTCGGTATGATAAATAAAACCAAAATTTGTGAAAAAAGTTGTGTTAGTAATTTTGCGTGAAGGAAATGAAGGTTTTTTGACTTGATGTTTTTTTTATACCTTCCGTAGCTAAAATGAGATGGATTCTTAAATATAGTCTCTTGTAATTGGCTCACAAACTTGATTAAAAATATTCCAGGCTTATATCGAATTATTTCCGTTTTTCTCGTATTTGTATCAGGCTATTATGGGAAGACTCAGGAACATTCGAGTTTAGCCCCCTGGAAGGACAACGGGCGTGTAATGCCCAATGAGCGGCTAACCCATTAGACTGCCCCCCCCGTCAAAGGTTAAAGAGGCGCAACTGTACATCCTTAGCCCTAGCCTGTCTCATAGAGGGATTCACCTGGGCTGAACCACTGTGAATCCCTCCCCCAAATCTAACCTAACCTAACCCAATACTTCAAACACCTATTTCTCTATGTCCTAGTCTTACACTTACCTATGGATTATTCCACGGTGTTAAAATTTAAAATTATGAAGTGGAAAAAATAAAAAGCGACCGTGACGCGTACATACAATTATGATGTCTAACGTTTAAGTATAGGTATAGAGTTAAAAATCGTGAAAATATGGAATAGTTGCCACCTCGTATTGCAAAATAGCTGAAACGTGAATCTGTCCTAGTAAATACTCCTCACCTGAAGCCAACATGCATACTATAGTGGTTAGATGTTTCAAGAATAGACAATAGATTTTAAAAAAATTATTCTGTTTCTACAGGTTGATATGTGAACAAAGAATTATAGTTTTGATAGGGCATTAACAGCGTGATCGCCAAACTATCGGGAACTATAAATCCATGGTTTAGGAACTATAAATACATAGTTCGTACTGTACCATAGATAATATGTAATTATTCTGTCTATATTTTCACGCTAGATACCCTTGTAGGGTAGGCAGAGAGAACTGAGCGTCACATGGCACGGTCCTAAAAAGTTGTTCGTTTAATACACTTGCTTTATTTAGGCATTCTTAAAATGAAATCATGAAATTTTAGATAGATTTAAAATATTGTTGATGAAATTAAAGAATTTCTTGATGAAGAAGATTTGGTACAGTATAAAGTGTCTGTATAAAGTGTTTGTGTAAGATTATAAAAAAAAAACACTTATTAAATAAAATTTTTCTTTATTAATATTTTTCTATTAATGTTTTTTAATATCCCATAAGAAGCGGCTAAGGTCATTTTTGTTTATGTCGCCATTATGCCCCCACAATTGTCGATCCCCTATGGAGTCTGCACTCACAGCTAACTTCAATCGCTGACTGAACTGTCTATTTGTAATAAAGAATGAGCGTATATCGCCTAACAGCACCGGTTCCAGATACCAAGTGTGCCTCATCTCATCATGCTTAGTATCACCATACACGGGCCTGTCTTTGATATCGTCTGGATACAGCCCCATTTTTAAAAACTGATTGCAGTCCCAGTTTTTCAGTTTAAAATAAACCTTGTTGTTATACCATATAGGAAGCATTTGCCAAACTATACGACGGCTGGTTTTGTCGCTCGAGTCTCCCCAAACCTTCCTGTCACCATTCGAATCTTTGCCGGCATCTAGTTTTAAAGCTAGATCATATCTACGATTTATCAGAACGACATTATTTCCTTCGTTGAATATCAGACTGAAAGAATGAGGCAAGTAATTATGTACAATATCTCTCTCGCCACTGGACCAAAGCTTATAGCCGTAGCTAAGGAGGTTAGAATTAACTTCTTGTGTTAGTTTCTCGATTACATTCGTGATTGCAAAACCATTCTTGACGGAGAGATTTTGTGTCAGCTTAACGGCATACGAGTAGTTACCGTTAACGATGCTGTCGTACAATTCGCTGATAGTATCGTTGATATTCAAATAAGCTAAATAATGACCGGACATTATTCCGACCAGGTACTTTTCATCTGTAAAAGATATTGAATGTTATTTAATTATTTGCTGTGTTCAATATATATTTGCAACTTACCATTAATGAATTTATTGAATTCTAATACCTATTAATAATTGAAATAAATAATTAAAGAAAAATAAACTATCAACATCATGAATGGCTTAATTTACAAATATAACTATATTTCGTTAGCTGATACAAAATACAGTATTTATACAAATAAATAAAAAAGCTGAAGAGTTTGTTTGTTTGATTGAATTCAGAAACTATTGAAATAAACTGAATTATTTATTTGTGTTGAACAGTCCATTTATCGAGGAAGGCTATAGGCAATACCAATAACATCACACTATGACTTAAAGGAGTTAAATTGATCCCCTTTAAAAGTTCTATAAAAAGTGCACAGCAGCATATGTCTACCTTTTATCATATAAAAAGCAATAAAAGTATGAAAATGAGTGTGGAACCGTTTTTACAATTCAATTTGTCATTATAATTATATTCTATGTCATCATTTTCCAAATCCATTATTAAATGATTTAAACTGTTTACGCAAAATTAAATAAGGTTTTGAGTTTTTAAATTATAACAATAGTTGTCACTAAAATCAAATGTATATGTTATTTAGGTTAATTACATGAAATGTAACATACATTTAGTAGACGCCACTGATCACTAGATGACACTACTTTACTTTTAAAACGGATCTTTTCTTAGTCAGTAGTATTTACTATTCCGTTTTTTATCGAAAAAAGTAGCTTTTGTTTTCCAATTTTACGGTTTTTCCAATAACATAATGGAGAATTATTAATAGAGCAAATAAACGTTTCATTTAGCTGACGCTACTAATCACTATAACGCTACTTTACTTTTAATAAGGGATTTTGTTTTTTTTTTGTAATCTTTGTTCCTTTGTAAAGTTAACAATGAACAGATGAAATTTTCTATCTTCCCATAGTGTGGGGTATCTTTAGATAAGTCTAAAAATATTAGGGGTGTGGGAAGACCGTTTTTCGATTTAGTTAATTGTTTGTGGCGAAAATTTGCATTTTGAAGCTTAAAGTGCCAATTTTTGTTGGAATCAAATGTCCCCCACTCTATCAACTAACGTTTAACGTTAACGTTACGGTAATAGTATATATAAATATACCAAAATGTAATGATTTTAATAGGATGAAATGAAATCTAAACTATCACATATAAGTTGACTTTACAAATTTACAATAGTGGACCATTCGGGTCCACAATTTTCGGGTTAAATACCTGAAAATCAACAAACGTTATTATTTGCGTTTTTATAGGATAGACCCTTCTTGCACTTCAATTAAAAAAATCCAAGCAAGTTCAACTTGCACTTGTCTGGATTTTTTTAATAATATACTTTCATGGAGAATTATTCATTAAACGACAAATTAATTAACGGGTGACTATTAACGAGATACTTTAATACTTACCCGAGGGGCGTTAAATTATCTTTCCAAAAAATGTACAAAACTGCCGATTATGAATGACGGAAATTAAAAAAATACGTGATATAAGCTAGGAATGTTAGAAGACAATTTTATCTAAAATACTAAAATAACAACTAAAATTCGAAGTATCAGACTTAAATAATAAATTGGGTGGAAAAAAAACTGAGTAAAAAAAAAATAGATTCGTTAGATACCTACAAATTGAAGAGATCGAAAAACACCCATTGGCAAAATTTTATTTGGCATCACGCACTAAAATCTCTGATAATGCTGAATTGAGAGAGCAAGACAAGTTGATTTTCAAGATGCTTTGAGGACCAGTCATAGAAATAAAGCATCAGGCTGTTTTAAGCCCTTATCTGAAAGTCCGGAATAAGCACATTAGTCAAATATCTCCAAGCCAAATGATGACGTTATTATTAAACGACTTCAATAAAAGGACTATTTTTTCAAAGAAAACATTTGTTTGTATTATTTGCAAGGCGTGTTCTACTGCACACTAAAATAGAGAGAAGAGCATCAGGATTATTCAATGAAGACATGCGCATTGCACGCTATCCACAGAAACACCGGTAGATTTTCTTTATTTGGTTTCACCTATTGGGCAGGTCTATGCTCCAGCAGTGAGGACGCAGAAAAGCTATTGATGATGATATAAAGGTGGATACTCACTGGCAGATTTTGAATTAAGATTAGCTTAATTCTCCAGTATAGCAGCTCAGTGTGCACACAGTACCCTCGGACCACGTGGGCCAAGCCGCGGGTTACAGCTAGTAGTGCATAAAAGTGGTGGATAGTAATGTGCTCTTACTATATGTACGACAGAAGAAATTTATAAAAAAAAATATTCTACAGAGTTGCTTTTATACACATTTAATTGATAGGCAATCAAAACCGCGACATAAAATTTGTCGGCCAAACTAAACCACGATAACAATTCAATTTAATAATTATTTTTATGGTGATATATATTTATTAGATGTTTGTTTATAAAACACATTTTATTTTATTAATGTATTTTAGCACTGTGAAAGAAAGAATCCGCAATTGTCATTACTTAATTTATAAAAATAATTAATAACTAATGCACAGACCGCAGATGATATTTCTTTCTTCAATTCAGTAATCTATACTTTATATGTCTCTCTTTCCAGGATCATAACAGGTCTCGAACAGACAGCATTGCAGGCGAATCTCTCATAGACTACAACTACACTCCCAGTATGTACTTTGAAATATTCATTGAGATCTATCTATTAATCAGAGTTTGCGATAATTATAATAAAAATAGCAGGCACAGAAACTTTAAAATATTTTTTTTAAATACCCACAGATACTTTGCACTTGGTATATACAATATAAAAATATAGGAGATAGACCACCAATCTTAAAAATTTTGAAGGCTTGAGTATATATAATTTTGGCAAGAGAAAAGAGGAGCAAATAAAGTTCTGGTTATGTTGAATTTTATTTGCTCATATTTTCTTTAAGTTAAAATTAGCATTGATAAATATGTAGTTGTGTTATCTCTAAAGATTGGCTCTATTATTAGTTATTTTTCAGGTGCTTTGCAGTTGCATATATAACTGTAATCACTGCGACATAAAAGTTCTATTGTTATTCGCCACCAGAACTATAGCTCTTTTAGCCTGGTAACCTCTAAGAAGTCTATGATATTCCTGGCTATCAGAGCTATCATATCTTCTGGGTTGATTCGTCACAGATGTAATAGCTATCATTAAATGATATTATATAATGTCTGTTATTATACCACCGTGATTCTGGGCACTAATCTAGAACTGCAATCCATGAGCTAACAAACTTGGCAGAGAGACAATTTTAATAAGTATTCCCTTATAAATTAAATATTCTGTCACAGTAGAATCGAAACTATGCCCTACCCTGTACAATTATCTAAGTCATATATTAAAAATATTATAAGAATATATAAAGTGACTATTGGAATTCAAAGCAGCATTAGAGATGCAAGTGGAACATGCTGGGGATAAGAAAACAGAACCTATACCGTCCACCACGATACAAGAATCAATTTCAGAGGTAAATGTTCTTGTTATTCGATTGTTAAGGTAACAATACGTAAAGTATAATAATATTATATGCCAGGACATATACTGAACAACTTTTATGAGACCAACATTGAATTCACGGAACAATTATCAGCTGTTTCATACAAATTGTAATACCTACAGTCGCAAACAGTAAAAGTTGATCATTATATGTAACTCATCCACTCAACGAATACCTGGCGTATAATAATATTACACATTATATAAGATAGCATTAAGTTGATGTATTGAGGTTGTTGCACAGTATAATTAATATATCTATTTAAAAAATCGATAATATATTATAGTATGTGAGGTCCTAGGTTTGATTTTAGGTCAGGGAATGTAGAAAACGATTTTTTATATATTGGTTCAAGTCTGATATGTTGTTATCTTCTTTGTTTCAGATTACCATAATACAAGTGCTTTAACTACTTAATTTGAGATCTGAACAATGATTGTAATATTCTTCATCATCATCATATTTATGCCCCCACCGTTTGGGCTTAGGCCTTACCGATGCATGAGATCATATTGGGAGAATGGGCCATGCTTCCGCATGCGGGCCCATTGCGAATTAATGGATGTTAACGACTCTCTCTGCAGATACAGCCGGGACCAACGGCAAATAACGGGTCTTCCGAAGCACGGAGAAGCTTGAGATAGTGAAGTTTTGGTCACCTATCATAGAATATAATATTAAGGATAGAACTGGCCTTTGCCCAAGCAGACAGAACGCAATGGTTAGATTGCGGCATTGAGCTCCTTGTCCAATATTTATTTAGTATAGTTAGTTACTCATAATTGAGTGCTACACTGTGCTTACACGAAACTCTCTAGTTTTCTTATATGCGCCATATGCAATCATTATTTTGAAATTACAAAATTTTGTTTTTAGAATAAGTCTGGAGTGGGTGGGTCTTTGCCAGCCCCGAATGCACGCCCGCCACCACCTCAATCGTTGGCTCGAGCCATCAACAACACTTTTCAAGTACAGTGCAATAATGTTTTTGATTTATTAGCGTGAGAATGTTTTTATCTTTCAACTAATCATTTCACTCAGGTTTTTAGACTGTTTTTGAATTACTCAAAAAGTTTATATTATGTCGCAAAAAAAATATCTTGTTACAACTGTACATACATATGAAAAACGAAAAAAATTATGAATATTTTGACCATTATACAGCCTGCCTTACGAGTTAAGTAATATATAGCCACAATAACTAAACAACAACGGTTATAAGTTTCTGACTAGTAAGGGTATTAGTATGAAGTTAAATGTAATAATATTTTATTACAGACCTTCCCCGTACCAGTTAATACGTATCCACGAACACCTTACATCAAGAAGTAAGTTTAATGTAGATAAGTTTTTTCTCCAAAGTCAGTAACTGTATATTTTTTATGAAATATTTAACAGATTAATATTCCGATTTACGTGATTAGTCAACAATAAAATATATTTATTTTTAAATATAAAATTGATAATAATAACCTATATAAAGGAAAATTAAGGATTTCACTTTTTCTTGCAAAGGGTGAACAATAAATTGATTATGGATGAGGATTTATTAAGGGGTCGGGCAGCCGCTTCTACCAAAAAGGCAGTGAAGAAAACTCCTGAATTATCCTTGCCGTATGTACCTGGAGGTTAGTAACATATGATTTCTCATTTTCTCTGATTTTAAGCTATTTTTTCTTTCTTTATTTATTTAATAGAATGAGGCGTTATTTAGCGCAAGTCCATTGCTATAACCGTAAAACTATGATACCTAGCAAGTTACTAGATATCATAATTTCACGGTTATTTCTTTGTTCTCTATTTGCCCCCCCTCTCACAGATAAAACTAAACTAACAAACTTACCCAAACGAACGCACCAAAATAGACCGTATTTAAATTGAAATTTGGTTCAACCATACCTACATAGGTGTAATAATGTAATGAATTATATTTTTCACAGCGAGTAATAGCCCTATGAAAAAAGCAAAAATGCCACACTCTCAAAACGCCAAATCTTACGACACGTGGGATAGCACAGTAAGTTAATTGAATATTATCCTGATACATCGAAGTAGACTTGATTGTTTGTAATTATTTTCAAGATGTTCATTTATGTTATGGCTTACCAGGGATGGGACCGCCTCACCACCACGATTCTTTTTAATAAAATAGGATATAATTTCTTAGTGATGTTATGGCATTTATTATATTGACAATTTTTTTTTTACTATGTTTGTAAACACTACTGTCAAATCCATAAATCATAATTCTTTCATCGCATCACATCGCTAAGATGCTGTTGTATTTTACCTAATCTTAAATTGGTAAATAATAATCTGGCATAACGTGCCAGAAAAAGACATTCACATTTGAAAGATCTATGCAAAGTTTAATATCTCTTGCAATGAATTCACGATACCTACTTATTACCCTAATAAAAGGAAAAACTCGTTACTCATTGTAATCTATACCTTCTAAAACTAATGTAAATAAAACATAATTATCATTATGTTCAGAGTTTTCCTATTGTATTTTGTAATTATATCCCACATTATAATAGCCATATTTTCTTCGATAACTCTATTAGGCTCTAGCACCCTTAGCATGACGAACTCTGGAAACTCACTATCTACACTATACTATACGTGACTTTTCTCGGATCTATGTATGATATCGTATGGGGGCACCAGAGAAAAGTGACATTTGGGTGTAGACAAAACGTTCTCCCGCTCGTCATGCTTCGCGTGTTTGTGTCTGTAATTAATAAGACAAAGGCATAATCATATACTTTTTTCTGTAGTGTACTTATTTACTTTGTTACTTTATCATGGCAATTAGAACATTTTAGAAGACGGTGTCGTAATCATCTGTAATCTTTTAGTAGCAATATTGTTTCGTTTTTTGGTCATCAGCGGAACGCGACTATGGTGTCGTCTGGTGGCCGGACACCCACGAACCTGCCGTACATGTGACATCACGAGCGTGGCTACTGGCGAGCCGCATATTTCTACTGATATCGCCACTGATACCGCGAGGACGTGACTCCACACCTATTATTCTGTATATTTAAATGACTTTTATAAAACATCGTTCATTTACCAAACGAATACATTTCGGAATTGATAAATCTTCTTTGGGTGTTTGTAGTTTAAAAATAACATTATGAAACAAGGAATACAAATTTGTTAGAACGACATTGGAATGGAATGATAGGTGTCATCATTGAGGCACTGAATTCTGTAGTTGTAACATACATTTCGATAATTAATAAAAGTACCTTTATTTTGCCTGTTTTCGTAACAAAACGAGAGGCAGGGCTCAGTCTTCTTTATGAATGGTTATGGAGGATACGCCAGCATCTTATACATCACTAGTTAATAACTGTGTAATGTTAGCACCTCGCTGATACGCTTCCGTCCCACGCGATGTTGGGTGATATCTTCAAGAGTAATTAATTCTACCATACGTGCTCGTTAGTTTTAATACTATTTGTTTTATTTAGTTTCACAATAAATCGTTTAAGTAACTTCAAATATTGATTAATTACAAAAACATTTTCTCTATCTGCCAAAATTTAACCAATTTTTACAATAACGTATTTTAGTATGCACATAACTCTTTTGGATATCCGACATAAGTTAATCTATAAAGAGTAGTTTACTATTATTATTGTCTTTTATTAATCACCTGATGCGACTGTGTTATCGCAACTTTATTTGATCGATTTCTATAAAGTTCCTATAGGCAAAAACAAAAACAATAATATCTGCCTCAACATTTAACATTATAAAATAAATTCAAACGACAAACTACCAACAATATTTTCTAAATTTTCAAGTTTAAATGTGAATACAGAGTATCGAAGACTTAGACATTACTAAAATAGGCTATTAACAGCTTGTTGAAAATTAAAATTAGATTTAAGTAACATATACATAAATGTAAAGTCATCATTCGTCATCATTAAAAGTTATTAAATTTATGTCAAAATTTTTTACAATAATTATATTAACTTACAATTATTGTTATAATAAAAAGCTATTTCCTTTATGAACTTTGTTATTGGTTGATATCAATTCATTTCTATTTCTATTTAAATCTGGTAAATTAAATTCCAAGTTATATGGCCCATTGCGATCTTCGTCGGCTTAGGGCAGACCTATCAATATCAACAATGACCAAAGGTACTATTATTTTTTTTCCTTTTAAACAAGACTATAAATTTATTCGTACATGAAGCTATAATCACAACTCATACTACTACTACTCTTTACTCTGCGCAAAAAAAGATATTCTATGCGCCACAGTAGATAATTAAAACTTACAGTTACTTTTAACTTTTCCTTTTTTTGAATTATGTGCCGTTCTCGAACACAGACTGTTCAGATTTTGAGTAGATACACTAATACACGAAAGTTCCATTAATGCAACGGTTGAGTTCCGTAATTTGATAATCAGGAAAAAAGCTATTTTTATTAGCTAATTACTTACGCCACATTTGTGTATATTTATGAGGCAAGCCTACACAAGATACAGTTTTCAATATTATGCCACATTAAAAGAGGTTTGATTCGATCGATATACAGCTGTTTCGACATGTATCAGCAGTACCTACCTATTCTATATTGAATAACTAATAAAATAGCTTATATTATCTAACCAAGCTTCATACATCCAATAATTTGTAAATTGCTTAAGATGGTTTTGTCATGGAACTGGTTCGACATCAGATGCGGTTACACGCCTGGGTTTCCAAAGAAGTACCTAGTCTAGCCATAAGTTCTGTTACAAAGAAAATATCCGATCATTTATAAAATAATAATTTTATTTTTAAATTTTATATGTAGAGTGAAAAAGATATGTTAACGTACTAAACTAGTTATTGAAAGTGTCCACCCTTAGATTTAACGCACGCTTTCGTCGATGGATTTACGAACGGTTTCCATTGGAAACTTGGTCAATGCTGCCTCCAAAGATTTTTTGAGCGACTCAATATTTGGGTGACGCTTAGGGCAGGCCATGTCCTCTAGCACAGAGCACAATTTATAGTCAAAAGGTTTTAAGTCCGCACTAGCCGAAGGCCAATCATCAGCCTTTATGAAGTCTGGAACATTTTGCTCAAGGCAAATTTAGGTAGTGCGCTCCTTACTGAATCCTGTTGGAATGTCCACAGTTCGTTTTTGACTGAGGTGTTGTTGGGAGGTTTAACTGCCACTTCTAACACGATATCTTGATACACTTTGGCTGAATTTGTCACTCCTTTTTCGCAAAAATGGAGTTTTGTAACTGTTTGGTAGGAGACAACCCACCAAACCATGACTTATGCTGGATATGCTCGGAAGCTTTTATAGAGTTGTGTGCATACACTCGATCATTTTGTTTGTTTACATAAATAGTATTAAAATTCTAGTCTTGACTGCATTAACGGCCTGGTTTGTTCGATTAGACGCGGTCAGCCGGATGTCTCAGGGTCATCAACAGACATGGTTTCAGTGTACCTTTGGATGGTACGATACACAAATATTCGGCCGGCTCCTTACCTACTCTGTACAGTGCAATTACTGCAATCCTATTCTCTTTAGTGCCCCATTCCATTTTTAAAACAAATAATTTCTTTTACAATAATTTCTATACAAAAAACATACAATAATGGCGGGAAAGAAGTCTATTTTTTTATCGTAGAAGCTAATGTTCAAATCAAATCAAATCAAAATTGTTAATTCAGTTTAGGCTTTTACATAGCACTTGTGAAAGCCGAAAACTACGCCAGCGATTCGCAAAACTACGGCGGGAGACCTTGTACTGAGAAGAACCGGCAAGAAACTCAGCAAAGGCTGTTTTTTTATCCCTGTTTTATTTCACACAGAGAAGTGTTATTGAAAAGTGACTTCATTAGAATATGAAGTCACTTTCCATTACAATATTAGAAAGTTAAATACAATAACGTTAAAATATCTAACACCATGCCTTTTCGTCATTTAGATATTCCTTAACGGTATAAAATCCTTTACTTTGTTGACAATTTTTAATACGACTTTTAAAATGATTTATTGGCAAATCTAATACATCACTGGGGATCTTGTTAAAGTACTGTATAACTTGACCCATGAATGAACCTAATACATTACTTCTGTAACCTGAAAAAAGGCATTACTAGCTTGTTTTTATTTCTAGTGTTAAGTTTGTGTACATCACTACGCTTGGTATACACGTAGTATGTTCGAAATTCAAATTAATGTTTTTTTTAATGTATGTAACAGAATTTATGGCTAGACTAGGTAGATGAAATGTATAATATTTTATTTATTATATTTATTCGTAATTCAAAGTTTTTCTTTTTAATACGAAACAATATTAATCGTATCTTTTATTATCATAGTATTATTTAATCTTATTTTGGAGGAGATGATTGACGAATATTTTAACCTGCAATTAATAAAACATTTTCTTAGTAAGATTTTTCATCGTAAAAATTGATTTTTTATTTAAACTATTATGCATATTATTGTAACTTAAACTTACAATTTGCAGAATATAATAAACACACGATACTTACTAACCGTTGAGTAACCATGGTTTAAACACTTTATTATTGTTTTGCTAAAGGGGCCTATGTTGTAAATAATGTATAGTGTTAAATTTTAATAAACACCTTTTAATAAAACAAGCATTTTAATGTACTTATTAATATAATTGTCATATTTTGTTATACATTAAGTGTAATACAGCAATATTCGTAATTATTTAGTTGTTGAATTGATATACCAGCCGAAGCAGCCAGCGTCTCCGTGTATGTCAGTACTGTGTCCCCACAGTTGCCGGTCACCGTAGTCATCCTTGCTCTCCGCCAGCTTCAATCCCATTGCGTATTCACCATTAATAATGAAAAACAACAGCTCACCTTTCAAAACTACAGGGTCCAAATACCACATATGGCGAAGGTCCGGACACCAGTAAGAACCCCAAGCTTCTCTGTCATTTCCGTTACTTTTACCTAACGCCAATTTCAAGAACATGCCGCAATCATGGTTGAGCAATTTGAAAATCACTCGATTGTTTTTCCAATCGGGAATCAATTTCCAAATGACACGTTTACTGGATTTATCATTATTATCTCCCCAAGCCATTCTGTCGCTGTTTCCATCCAGGTTCACGTCTAATTTTAAAGCCAATGAATACTTCTTATTGGTGATCGTTATAAAATCTTCACTGAATATAGCTTGGAATACGCAAGGGAAGTGCTTAATTAGCACGCTTTGAGCATCGCCGTTCCAAAGCTTAAAGGCCAGATTCAGCACATTTTTATTGTTCTCCTCTAGCAACTGATTGGTGACTTCAGAAATTATATCAGAGTAGCTGCTCAAAGCTAAGGTTTTGCTATGATCAACAGCAGAGTCGTAAGCACCAGAAATAATATATTGCCGGAGACGTTCCTTCATCATAGAAGGGTTTTTAACGGAGTCGTATAATGTGATACAGTTAAGTTGATGTGGTAAGACATATTCAGGGCAGTATATGAAATTGAAAATTTCGAGTTCTTTCTCAAGATTTCCGATATCAGATGAGGCTCTTTTTAATCCAAATATTACAATTTTGCCTTCAGTCTTGTTCACCATACGGACGATATCTTTGGCGCTGCTTCTGTTGATTGGGGCTCCCATAAGAGTGACTGTACGTACAGAATTCTCTTTTATATAGCTTGAGGTGTCGCAAATTGTGTAACTTTCAACTGGTATGCGATTAGGGATTTTCTTGTTCCGATCTGGACCGGTGCTGACACATTGGTGAGAATGATTGACATTGTAACAGTCTGTAAAGCCGCTGACACCTTCCGCACTTTTTATTTTACCTTCGCCCCAATAGTCTACTAGGTCAATGAATAAAGAATCTTGTGGTATTTTCATCAGTTTATATGGTCCGATGTAAGGCACTTCAGAATACGGAAATAGTTTGTCTACGTTGACGCCAGCACTGTAGTTGGGCGAGCTTGCCATTTTCCAATCCTCTGAAGACGGCATTTTCACTTTAGAAATCTGTAAAAAGCAATATACCTAGTACATAGTGAAGTTTTCAGACTGAGTTCATAATGAAGTGATTTAAAAGACAGTCTACTTGAAAGCCAATATCGTTGTAAAAGTTAACAAAGGTATGCTTCTTTGGTTCACACATGTGGAAAGAATGCCAGAATCTAGAAGCCGCGGAAAGCCAAGACATACATTAAGATCTCAGGGTTAATGGACGTTTTTTTATATGTTCAAATATAAACTTACATTGATGCGTTTACCGAAGAAAACTTATTTAACTGCGTATGTACTAACTCATTTATGTTTTATATTGGCGTGACCATGAGAGACGTTGTTCTGTGGTAGATATCCTTTTCGTGATAGAACAGTCCACAGACCACATTTTATCAGCGTAAATTTTATATTTTTTTATTAAATAACCAATTATTATGAAACTGTATTTAATATTAATTGTAAATATAACAATTTTAAGATAAATAACCTTTAAACAGTTAAACTTAAACAACAACACAAAGGCAGCTGACAAATTAATAAACTTCATTTGTATTAGGGTGAAGATTTGATAGGCATGCCTTTAAACGGCTTTCATGGTCATTTACATTAGAATGATAGTTCAACTCAAGTCAAAATCGTTTATTCGGTCTAGGTATTCACTTGTGAAAGTCGAAAACTACGCCAATTGTTTCCAAAACTACGGCGGACGGAGCTACAGAGACCTTGTACCGAGAAGATCCGACAAAAAACTCGGCTTGAGTTGCTTTTTCTCCCTGTTTTATTTCACACAGAAGTCTTATTTGAAAGTAACTTCATTAGACTATGAAGTCACTTTCCATTACAATATCAGAACTAACAAGACAGATACTTTCGATTACTGATATGCCGGTTGATAACTACGAGTGAGCTAATGAAAGATGGACTATATTAAAATAATATGATATATTCGGAAAACATAGTAAAAACAAGGATAACACAAATTAATATTTAAATTATACAACAAATCAGATCACCAACGTAAAGACACAAGAATTTGACAGACAACCAAAAACTCAAATACGTCAATCATATTCAAAATATATACAAAGCTTTATAAAAAAGGTGAGATGACCAGCCAGTTGCTAACACCGGTTGTATAGTCATACATACTAACATAGGTAAAATGTTAATCACATTAGGTTGAAATATCATGTTGTCATTTAGATATTTTTTAACTATATAATATCCTATACTTTGTAGATAATTTTAAAATTATTTATTGGCAAAACCAATACATCTTATTAAAATATTATATATCTTGACCCAAAAAAGAACCCAATAGCTTCTATAACCTGTAAGAAGGCATTACTAGCTTGTTTTTATTTCTAGTGTTAAGTTTGTGTATATTATCACTGTGCTTACCTAATATGTAATATTATTTAGATGACTTAGTTATATCATCGAACAAAACAAAGACAGCGTATTTTTTATTCCCATGATTTCAAAGTCGAAAAGAACGATATTCTATATTCAACAGCTTTGTACATTTTTAACAAAATTACTTTTTCTTTTATTTCATGAAAGTTTAAATATTAAGGGTTAAAGTATGAAATTGCCGTTTTATTGTAATATCAGGTTTTCGAAAGAAACTTTTTTAAGATGTTCTTCTTTTAAAAAATGTGAAACATTTGAATATCAACTTTCAATTGTTTTTGTTACTCAACTTAGACAAGAAAGATGGATACTGCGAAAATACGAATGATTTTTTAATACGAGTTCCGAGGCGGAAGTAACATGGCAGAAACAGCCCGCAATATCAATGTTGCGTTTGGAGAAGGGTCTGCTAATGAACACACCGTGCGATTTTGGTTTAAACGCTTTTGTGATGAAAATTTCAACTTGAAGAACAATCCATATTGAAGACCGCTCACACAGGTGAATAATGTTGAATTAAGAGTGATAGTGGAAGCCAATCCTAGTCAAACTATCCAGGAATTAGTGGCATGATTTAACGTTACCTTACCCACAATATTGACTCATATGCGTCAAATCAATAAAATAAAATAAAAACAGGAAAAATGGGTGTCACATGATTTGACTGAGCTGCTGAAAGAAACGCATGTTGAAACTTGTGTTGCCTCTTTGAATCGGTACAGAAATGAAGGAATATTGGATCGAATTGTGAGATGTGATGAAAAGTGGATTCTTTATGATAACCGTAAAAGAAAAATGCAATGGCTGATCCCAGGTCAAACGCCACAACAGTGTCCTAAAGCAAAACTTATCAATATAAAGGTAATGGTAACTATTTGGTGATCTCAGTATGCTGTTATTCACTATATTTTTCTTCGATCTGGTCAAGCAATAACGGCAGATATCTGTTGTGCCGAACTCCGAACAATGTTGGCAAAACTAGCAGTAAAACAGCCCCGACTCATGAGGTCACGATCGATCTTCACCATTATTGCTCCATGATAACGCGAGACCTCATACAAGAGAAACCGTTTTGACCTTTCAGGAACTGCAGTTAGAAACCATTCGTCATCCTCCGTATTCGCCAGACCTTGCTCCAACGGACTACCATTTTTTCGTGATTTGGACAATTATCTACGTAACAAGAAGTTTTCTTCCCAGGAGGCAGTACAAAATGCACTAACAGTTTTTGTAGTCTAGATCCTCAGAGTTTTATCGCATAGGCATAAATGACCTTCCTATTAGATGGCAATAATAATAATGGAAACTATTTTGGTTGAATCTATTTAAATAAGTGTTAAAAATTAAAAAATAAACTATTTTGATTTTCAGCAGTACAAATCTTCAATGTTATACTTTAACCCTTTAACGCTTTATTATTTGTAAAAATATTTATTTCGGCTGTTTGGGTGGATTGCTTGAACAAACTCTCTGAAAATACTCTCTGTAGTAGCGAAAAAGTAACAAGTGCTTGAAAAATTCCTCAGTCCTATTAAGGGTAGCTCTGTGGTTAGAGCAGTCGCCCGGATTCCGAAAGGTCATAGATTTGAGTGCCATCACAGAGTCCCAGGGACAAAGTGGACTTTTTAAGAACTTTTTATTAAGAATATAAATTTTTATGTTCTTTTATTTACTTTCTCTTGTTGTATTGAATACATATTTAAGGCATTTGCACGATAAATCAATATATTACTGATTTATTTTATTCCTTAGGCACAATGGACAAAAACGGATTTAATGTCTTAGCAATTTTAAGAATAATACACAAACACATAGAATAAGCAAGAGATTATTTATACATATACTTCATACATATATATATATACAATACCTATATACTTGAATGAATATTAGATTTAGTACATAACATTTTTTATGATTCTGCCTGATTTAATATAAAATCGCGCAACTTTGTTTTAAAAGCAAACGGATTGGGGACATTCTGATGTCGACGACGACGACTTATACTAATAGATGACAGATCGTTAATATTTTGTTACTGACTCATTGTGATTATACTGGATCTAATGGGACTAATTATATTTTGCATAAACAGCATTTCCTATTTCATAGAAACTACTAATTGCCAACTGTGAGAAATTCTATAATGGAACTGAATGATGGAACTACTGGGATATTAATTAGGTACACCTGGTACCTATTTTATTTATGTTTGTATTAATAGGTACCGAAACTAAAAGACTGATTTTAATAAATTCTTTCACCTAGCTACATGCAGATATGCGCTGATGAACAGTTGCGTGCACTGTGGACAAGCCCACAACCCCAATTCACTTGTTGTAACCGGTAAAATCTCACTTTCATGGTCTAACGAGATCTACAGGCTGATGATAAGAACACTACGTCTGTCTACACTAATAATACTAATTCTGGCTACATTCCCGATCAGAGTAGTTACTGCGGAAAGATCATTTTCATCTCTCCTTAGGATCAAATCTTGGTTGCGCATCTCAGTGGCACGAGATTTTTTTTATTGGAGATTGGGATTTACTCTTTTTAATATACACAAACATATACAATTAAACGAAATAATTTATGTTTCTCAAAAAAGAAGCGTAAGATTTTGATTTTTGGGTGGCTCTGTTCACAACCTTTTTAAGGGCTCAATCTGCGTTATTTTTAAATAATATAGAGGGAATATAAATTTGCTAAACCATAGCAGGGTGTCACATGAATTGTAAATGACAAGGTAAATAAATAAATATACCTAACAAACTCAATTTATATAACATTATCATACGTTGTTGTACCCATTATGTGATCAAACAATTCATATTTTAGTTGTAGGGTTTGATATACCAGCTGTAATAGCTAGTGCTAGATAATGCTAAAAAATATATTTATTAATAAGTTCTGTGGTTTTACTTTGATTTCTCAAACGCGATGCAATTATATTAGCCAGCGTTTCTATTTATGTCGACGCTGGTTCCCCATTGTTGGCAGTCATCGATATCATCCTTGCTCACTGCCAGCTTTTATTTTATTTTTTACTCGCATTTTATAATGGAAAACAACAGCTCACCTTGCCAAATACCACTATATATATATGACTAAGGTCTGGGCAGTGGTAAGAACCCAGAGCTTCGTCATATGTGGTATTTGCCAAGAACCCCAAGTTTCTCTGTCATTTCCGTTGCTATGCGTTCAAGAATCCAACCAACTTTCGCATATTTGTAGGAATATAACCATATATGAAAAGTTCAACACTTACAAAAGTATTTGGAATTGAACATTCTTAGAAAAATACTTTTTTTTCGTTTTTAGGGTTCCGTAGTAAACAAGCAACCCTTATTGTTTCGCCATGTCCGTCTGACTATCCTTCTGGCCGTCCGTCCGTCCGTGATTTAGCTCAAAAACTATTGATACTAGAGAGTTGTAAATTGGCATGAGTGAGTATACACGTTAATTATACCGACAAGTGCTAAATTAAAAAAAAAATGGGTCGTCTTCCACAAAGTGTGGGGTGTCGTTGGCTAGGTCTTTCAAAAACATTGGGGGTGTGGGAAGGCCGTTTATCAATTTAGTAAACCGTTTGTGACTTATTAAGCTTGAAAGAGCTTATTTTCGTTTGAGACAAGTGTCCCTCTCTCTAACGGTTATTAACTAAACGGTTATTGGTAATAATTCAAACGTTACGGCAGTAGTATTTATATTTAACGAAGTTAAAAGGAAAACTGTCACACTTAACAAGTACGTGTATTAGTCAACCAATTATACTTTACTTGAAAGTTTCGAACAACTCCATAGAAAATAAACTGTTTTTATTACTTTTTTAATGGATGTTGAATGTATCAATGGTATGGAATCCTTCGCGCGCGAGTCCGACTCGCATTTGTTTTATTACAAGATAAAAGAAAGAAAAAGGCGGTAATTATCAAATTGGCATCTTTAATCATAATCAATAGTAAGTTTATAATATACACAAGATGCAATCTTTACATTTTACAATATCATAATCTTAGCCTAAATAGATACGAATGGCATGATAATCGTCATATAATAATCGATTATTATAGGTACGAAATATATTGCTAATTACCAATTCGATACCTACACACTTTAAAACGCAACTTTGGTTCACATATAAGTAATGTTCATAACATAAGCGAATTGTAATACTGAAGCAGAACGTGTCAAGCTTATTATAATCAATCACAATAAATTAAACTAATTTCTAGAATTAAATCCAAACCAAATTTCTAGGTAATTTTAATTTAACAAAATGCATTCTGTTGTGTGTACTTAAAGTAGAGTGTTTCGAAAAATCGAGATCAAAAATAAGCTTATATGTTGTAAGATTCCACGCTTTATACTAATGAAGTTTATTATATTGAGGTTATGAAATATTATTTTTTATATATTTACATTTCACACGAAGTTTGAATGAAATTAATCTGTTCCTATATATGTAGATATTTTTAAATGAGAAATTTAAAAGCATACGTAATGTTAAAATAAGTCATGAGATATTAATTAAATAAAATACACTATATATTGCGTATCCAAAACATTAGGCTTCGCGCGCACTGGTAACTTTTTGTTATTTTGTGTCACCGTGTTCGAGAATTCTTGCGGTGGCACATGCATTTAATTACATGAAAGACAGAAACACCGTGATAGATTCTATCTTTAAGTCCAACTGCAGAACAATCACTATTGCGCGCGTTGCTTAGAATTACTAGTGCGCCGATACTATATTCTTTGAGTGGAAGCAAATAAATCATGCTTAATTATTAGCACCACTGATTCAAAATATAAATACAAATTGATTTTTTGGAAATCATAAAATAAGAATATTTCATATCCACAATCTTCATTGAAAATAAAAAAACTTTTATTATTAATGACGCTAAAGAGAGTATTCGTGATGCGTAAAGCACTATGCGACTTGAAACTAAGTAAAATACGTACGTAGCTATGGTAAATATTTTCATAAACGAATATTTACTTTAAAAACAGTAAATTTTGATAGTAAAAACTCGTCAAAATTAGATTATGGAAATATAGAAGAAGTATGCAAACATGAAACATCACTTGTACAAAAATGAAAAAAAATCAAAGCAGTGAGAAATCATATCATTTGTGATTAGCTTAAAAATAAGATTAACAATTACGATTCACAAAAAGAGTACAATTTATTTAATGACTAAATTATTGACTGACGTAGGTTAATAAGTATATGGTCCCATAACGGCTATTTAATAGAAAAATACATATAAAACATGGTTCATGTTAAGCCTTACTGACTTAGGTCGGGCGTCAAGCAGAAGTTGCTTTTTATTGTTAATTTTAAAACATAATCTGATGTTTTAATATTAATAATAAAAACTATTTAGTTTTTCTATTAAAGCGAAAAAGTGTTTGAGGGGCTTTAACGCTTGGTTCTCTTTGCCTTGTTTCCGGATAATCAGTTGTTCACGTTGATCCCAGACATATTCTGGACGACGCCCGGCCTGACCCAGTACAGCGTAATACAAATAGCCTTTAATCTTAATTACCGCGCTCACATTTCATTAAAAAAAAATTGTCATTATAAGATCCCTGATTTTACAATTATTCACTGACTTCTGTGAATAACTAACTTCATAATCAGACGCATTCCAAATGCAGCTTTAACTGTGCTTGTAAAGTATCTAAATTGATTCGTATTTGTATTTTATTTATCTGGCTAGTAATAAATATTGAACATAGATGCTTAAAGCTAGATAGCAAGTTTTTGGTGAGAGCCACACCGAATGAAATCGAATTTACAAATCGAAATTATAATCTTTTGGGCATTGACAATAAATGTGTGTAGTGAGCGGCGGTTGATAGTGCATTTTCAGGAGGCGGATGGCGCGGGCGGGCACGCGGTCTTCAGCAGCTCGCCCCCGCTCTCCGTAATGGCCACCGTCTTGTGGTAGTTAATGAGATCAGCTGCAACAATTTCACTCATATTGTATTTTATAAATTCGTATTGATGGCTAAAGTTTATAGTTTTAACTAACAGGCTGGTGGTAACTATAAAATAGCACTAGTATGGTGCGAGCTCGCAATGTTAATAACCTATAGTGGGTATTATGTGAGCATTGAAAATTAGTCATTCGAAGCGCTATCCATAAAATTGTATCGTTTCTGCATAGTACTAAATATTGTTGTAGCGACCTATAGCGACCCCTACAACAAAACGCATTACTTCGAGGAAAAGATGCAGAGGTCTATGGACAGTGAAAGAGGTCTATGACAAAAAAAATTAGTGAGGTTTATCGCTCACTAAATTTTTTCCGTCATTGTTTGCTTTTTTAGACTGCCCTGGGAACAAACCACACTATAATCATTTAGTACCTGATGACTATATTGAAGATGTATGTAACGCTTGTGAGTTCACTGTCCCAAATATTAGTGATACTAGGTATTTTCTAATTTAGTTATAGCTATAATAGTATTAGGTCCTTACATTTGAAATTGACTTTTTGTCGTACTGGCCACTTTAATGACAAATTTCTCCTCCTTGGTTGGGAATTCCAAATTCAAATTTATACAGCCATTGACACAAGTATTTGTGTTTCGTTAGGCTGTATTTTTTTTTCTTCTGTTTATCCTATTTACGTCACCTAGTATAAAAAACACTTGAATAATCGTGTTATTTACGAGTACGAGTTCCACCGTGATACTAGTGCTGCGGAAACGGTTCGAAGGGTTAATGATGTGTATTGCGGTTGTTGCGTAAAAGAAAACACAGTGCGTTTTTAGTTTCAACGTTTTTGTTCTGGAAATTTCGAACTGCAGAACAAGCCCCGTGGACGGCCCAAGTTAATAATGAGGAATTGAAGGCTATTGTGGAAGCGGATCCATCGCAAACCACGTCCGAGTTAGCTGCAGGCTGCGGTGTTAGTGATAAAACTGTTTTAATCCACTTGAAGCAAATTGGAAAGATTAAAAAGATTGAAAGGTGGGTACCTCACGAATTGAGTGAAGCAAACCGGCAAACGCGCTTCGACTGTTGCGTTACATTACTTAACCGGCACAATAATTAATGGTTTTTAAATCGAGTCATTACCTGTGATGATAAGTGGATTCTCTACGATAATCGGAAGCGCTCATCGCAATGGTTGGACCCTGGCATGCCAGCCAAATTCTGCCCCAAGCAAAAATAGACCCCAAAAAAGTTACTTGTGAACGTTTGGTGGACTAGTGCCGGTGTCATACATTACAGTTTTTCGACGACGATTACGGCAGACGTCTATTGTCAGCAATTGCGCCGAACAAACAACCGAGGCTGGTCAATCGCTCTACGCCACTGCTACTTCACGACAACACTAGACACACTCACACTGCACAACAGACGGCTACCAAATTAGAAGAGCTTCAATTGGAATGTCTAAGACATCCACCGGACCTTGCTCCAACAGATTTTATTCGAAATTTAGATAACTTCTTGCAAGGGAAAAAAATTCAACTCCGATGGGGCACTGCAAATCGCCTTCAAAAAATTTTATTGATTTTTTAGTAAGGGGATCAATGAACTACCTATGAGATGGCAAAAGTGCATAGATAACGATGGTTAATACTTTGATTAAATAAATATATATTATTAAAAAATATTCGACTTTTTGTTCCTCCCATACCAAACACCAATTTCATATGTAAGGACCTAATATTAAATCCATAGTCTTCTCAGTCTATAAGTTCAGTGTACGAGTAATATACAATCAAAAGTGAAATAAATAAGATAAAATAAACAATCAATCAGTCAGTCTTACCTACAGTGTGGTGTGATTGCTGTACTGCACTCAGCAGGCGGTATCCGCCAGTGGTGTCTATGAAGTAGTGCTTACATTGGCCAGGGTCTCGGTATGAGGTCTTACCTAGAGTGTGGTGTGAGCGCTGTGCTGCACCCAGCAGGCGGTATCCGCCAGCGGTGTCTATGAGGTAGTGCTTGCAACGGCCAGGCTCGCGATACGATATAGCGTATCCCCATACTCGCTCCGAAATGCGCACCAAGAAACTGCCTGCAGGCTGACCCGATAACAACTGCTCCGCTTCTGACCTGGTTATTAAACCTGTAACAGGGTTTATTTGGTTAAAAGGCAATCTTTTATTTATCAATAATTCAAATTGTGAGATAAATAAGATCATTATACGAGTATAATTAGTGCGAACTCATTATATGCTCAAGCTGTCATGCAAATATGATTCAGAATATATAATATTTATATCTCACAGTTTCGTTAAAATAGCCGTTAATTGTATGGCTGACTTTCAATTGAACGACGCTATTCAACTACGTGGCAAAATGTAGTCAAATAAATTTGCTGGACACAACATTTGATTGCATAGCTGATAAAATATAGGAGCGAATATCAATTTGTACAATTGATGTTTCTATCAATAGTACAAATTTTCTTAAAATTTTAAGCATTTTTTTAAATCACTAACTTCTTTATTTGTGAATGTTGAATATAACATTGTGTTTTTTTTTTTTCACAACCAAACAACATCGCAGCACTCTAAAATATAAATGCAACTGCGGAAAAGAAATCTACTGTAACATAACTTTAACGCTACAAAGTAACGGGACATGTTGAACATTTTAAATATTATAAAGATTCTATTATATACCTCACTAAGCCCATACTTGAATAATGACACAACTGCACAATAGTATGTAAAAGCAATTCATATGTATTTGATATATACATACATATGTCAATTGCCAACTCACCGTGAAACCAATCAACCGGTTTGTTGTTCTCGTCAAGACCAACACCTTTTTTCAGTTCCTTCGTTTTGAACCATTCCATGACGGCTTCTCTACTCGGAGGTTTGCCAGCTGTTAAAAATATATACAGAATATATTCTAGTCTATCCATAAGTTGCTATTGTTAGTACTATTTTATTGTGTTTTTTAAATTCGTCAACCTAAGTTGGTCAGTTTGTTGGGGTCGGTACAAATCTGTCGGAAGATCCTTCAAACGTCTAAAGGAAGTATGCAATAGTAAGCGACAGAATTTCTGTCGAGTGTACAAGGTCAAAGGTCACATCATACAATTTATCAGAACTGCAGTCCCGCGACCTACGAGACGCGACGCATCTTCCGTCAGACATGCACGTCATCTTGTAAATATCAACGAGTATCCCAGATGCAATGACTTCTTTATATACTAATTACAGTCAGTATAAGCTGATTTAGAATTAAAATTGTAACAATGTAAGCAAACGTCAACCGAGATATTAGAGCGGGTGAAGAGAAAAGAATCAGCGGAACGAAATACCGTACAACTTCTATGATAGTAAACATAGAAACCTTTTCGAAACGGGTTTCGTGACGGGAAATTTACTAGGCGACTCTCCTGCATGTGTAGATTTCTCAAATTTTTTTTTCTGTATAACGTCCCAGGGGTTTTAAAACAGCGGTGAAACAACTAATTTTCGAAATTTAAAGAAATTGGCAATCGGCGTAACAGTTGTTTCAAGTTATTATAATCAATATAACGTCCAAATTCATCAAATGTAATAATTTTAAGTGTGTTTTAACACCACAAACAAGTTCTAATCATTATAATATTCAGTTTCGTTGCAAAGATACTTACTCTGCGGTAATTCAGGTGGTGGTACAGTAACCAGTGCGCTGAGCCGGTGCGCCTCGCGAGCAGCGCGGGCTATCTCCCGCATCGCCGCCTCCGCTTCTTTCGCCTTCCTCTCTAAAACAAAGAAAAAACACATTAATTATGTGTACGAAGAAACAGATCCATTATTAAATAAATAAATAAATATTAGTGCCTGATCACATACATTGCTCAGATTCCAATATGAGTAGCTAGAGCCCCCATATTAAGGAGTATCTGAGATAACGAAAGTGATATACAACACACAGACCTAAAACAATATAGAAAAGTTTATGTTCTATATTGATCCGACCTGAGTGGTAAGTGTAAGTTTTACGATAACGCGTTCACTAGTGAGCGCGTTAAGAATTTGTATGGAGATTTGTACTTCTTGGTAGTTACCGCTAGGGGCACTGTACCGGATTCCATACTAAAATCTTAACGCGCTCACGATCGACAGTGAACGTAAACGTCAATAAAACTTACACTAAGCGCCCTGAAGTCGAACCACACGGCTACGTAGGTCCTTAACTAAACACTATTATTGTAAAAAATATAGAATATCATGGCAAAGATGCTGCAAGTGCCTCCATTAATGCTGTTATAGCGCTATAGGTACATGGAAAACGCAAAGCGCTTATGAAACATAAAATTGAAAACAACAAAATATATAAAAGCTGCAACTCACAAACTCGATCGTAGGCGTCGTTAAATAAAGGGGAATTCATTACCAGACAGCAAGAGTGGAAGGAAGACAATAGACTCCAGTCTACTTGCAGTTCAAGAGAAACAATAAATAAGTGATTTCTCAGTACTAAATCATTTTGTTTCTCCATAGCTTCTCCCGTCCATATCGTATCGACTAACCCTGCTCTCGCCAGGCTACGTCATCGTCGTGTGCGTGCAACTGTGCATCCCGTAATGTCCTCGCGCGTCGTGCCCTGATCCCCCTGAGTATGTCACCGGCACGTGCCGCTGCCACTCGTCGCTCCCACGCAGCAACGCGGTTGCTCACTCCATCACCGTTGTTAGATAAACCAAGGTCCTGCAGTTTAAACAAGTTTTCACTTTATACTATAAAATATTAGATAACATCACATGAATCGCTCAGATCCAAAACTAAGTAGTATCTAGCATCTAAAGTAAATTTTCACATCACTTGAACCCTCATGCAAACCACCCGACTATAAAAAAATTCTTACTTATTGTTTCAAAAGATCTATAGGCACGCATGTTATGCATGGCAATGCATGTCCTACGTGAGGATCTTAGAGGATGGATTTATATAAAAACAAATCTAATAAATATAATGGCGTTTTTGCACTAGTCGATCGGTTCTTGTTTTATTAACTAGAGGTGAGCGCGTAGAGGTTACCCGCATTACGCGTGCTGACCCCACCGACCAAGCATAATGGGTGTTTCAGGCATAGTTTTATCAGCAGCATATGAATTTTTTATCAACCTATTTGATATCTACAAATCTGTCTTTCAATAAAGTTCTTAATTTCTATTCTATACCTGCATAACGTCTCTCTTCCCTTCGATGAAATTGAAGTGTAGTGTATTTTTCAACTTCATATTATCCCCAAAGTCCGTCTTGTCATTCAGTTTGTTGATTTCAGTATTCTCCGAGAGCTTCACTTCGGGCTCCAATGCTTCAATACGTTGCCGCAGCTCGTCCACTGTACAATAAATCTCTAGGCTGTCTTCTAAAGGGTCGATGCTTTTTGGAGACAATTCGAACTTCTGCAACAGAAAAACCGAATTCAGATGTATTACAAAATCTAAATCGTTTATTCAGTCTAGGCTGTTCCATAGTACTTGTGAAAGTCGAAATTACGCCAACGATTCGCAAAACTACGGCAGGAGACCTTGTAATAAGATGAACGGGCTGATTTTTTTCTCCTTGTTTTATTTAACACAGAGAAGTCTTATTGGAAAGTGACTTCATTAGACTATGAAGTCACTTTCCATTACAATAACTAAAATAACAAGACAGATATTTTCTATGACTGATTCATGTGCCGGTTGCCGAGTCATACATACTCATTGACAAATCAATATACAGTATTCATAATAAAATAAAATTGACGAAATTAAGTAGTCCAGAGTAGACTCATCCCCACTGGCAGCAGCTGTTCACAAGCATGACGCATGGGCCAGCCATCGCTTCGCTTAACCATATTTAAGGGAACCATCGCAAAGATTTATTAAGGAGCATGACTACTCTAGGTACTTATGATGTTGTTTGTTCTTTCCAAACATTTTGTTCTCAAATTGGGCTTTTTAAAACCGACCAAGAAGTTCTGCACAAAAAACTTGCGATGGTTCTGCACAAATATTAAATTTTAAACATTATGGAACTATAAAAGTTATCTTTTATTATTTTTAAGTATTTTTTCTATAAATTGAAAAGTATTTAATTTAAATATATATTCAAGATTCTCGCAATTCTCAAATTCCTTTTGATATATCACTTCGTATAGATAGATATAGATATGTACATACCCTTTAACATACATTTAACATAAGGTATGTATGTTAATACCGAATGGTCCCCCATTTTTAATAACAGTACAATATTTTTTATTTGTTTTCTATATATATATATTTTTTTTTGAACGTAGAATAAATTTTTTTCTCATTATATTAATAATATATAACGAAGATTCACGGACAATTTGTATTAAGCATCATCGAAATTAAAGCTTTTCGAAGTTTAAGTATTTAATATCAACTAAAGGATCAATATTTTTACAAAAAATTTAGTTGTTTACAATTTACTCCAATTTTGATTTTAGTGAAAACTACTATTACAAAAAATATTGCAATTGTCGTTTGATCAAAATCAAAAAAAGATTCAAAAAAAGTTAGGAAAAAGAAAGTTAAAAATTCAAAAGCACAAAAAATATTTGTGTGTATTAAGTCCACTTTCTTTGAAAAAGTATCGCTTCAGTCAAAGTAGATATTAGAATTGGCCCCCAATTTACTGTTTTAAGCGCCAAAAAAGTGTTCAGATCGACTTGAAATCGAGATCAATCAACATAAAAAAAATACCGCGGTTACATAAGTACGTATTAACGTTACAAATTAAATTATATGGATGTCGCTTCTGTGAACCTCGTAATAAGGAAAAATATATTAAGAAATAATTATATTTAAAATAGTACCTCGATCACTACGCTTTTAGATGCACCATTATTGGGAACCGCCATTTGATAACACTTCTAAAGAAATATTAACATTCATATAGTCCTTAGGAGCTTAGTGATAGCACCATAGCCTTTATATGATTAGCCAAATACAATACCGATATCTCACATCAAATCGTTTATTCAGATCATTTACTAATCCCCTTCAATTCTTTTATTAACCCAAAATGCAGAATATTATTCATAACAAAATTCCAAATTCAAATTATAATTAATTAAACCAACACAAACGGCCTCTTCGCCAATTCCCAGTGTAATTTAGGATTTTACAATGTTCGGAATCCTTTTTTATAATTGAATATTAGTTGCCTAGATTGAGATATAAAAAAGTCGGAAATAACAAAAAATCTTAATAAGATTTAGTTACTTATATCAGATTAAATAACTATTTCATTGACATAAATATATATATGATGCCGGCAGCGCAAGACCGATCGTCGTGGAAATCTATGGGGGATAGGCCTCCCCATAGAGCTCAGCAGTGGGCGCCTTACGGATGATGATGATATAAAAATATTAATTAAATCTATATATCCGTGGTGTAATAGTAAAATATTAAAAGTAATTGAGTATTTATTAGGTTCTGCTTCATGTGGCAAAATAATTAAATTATGCAAAGTATGTAAATATAGCGAATTATTACATCCTCCATTTTGTGTTTTTGCTAGCATAACTTTACCGTTCATATAGTGGTTAAAACGATACCTAGAGGCAATAAAGGCACTTATATAGCATTAATAGGTACCTCATTGTACTTTTCTTTTCGATAATTCAGTTTGTGCTTTAGTCACAACTTTACTTGAATAGTAACGAAAATAAAAAACAAAATGTTAAGCATATATCTTTGATAATGTATTGTGACTGGACCAGTATTGTGACTGGATCTTTTGTTATAAACCCCACATCAAACGTAAAGTATAAAGGAAACCAAAGACTTTATTCAACCTACCCGCAAAATCTTGCTCGTGTTCAGGAGGTCATACTCTTAAAATTATACTTCAATAATAGTTTACGATCACAATAAATTGCGGCTAATAACTATTAAAAGTAAATAGCCAAGATTGACGACTGTGTCAGTCTTTAACATACCTGTTCCAAGCTATCAAGAGGCTCGTAGTCTATAAGCTGTGTGAGCTCTTTCTCTACGGACTTGCGCAATTGGTGTGCCTCTTCTCGCGCCTGCTGCACCGCGCGTTGTCGAGCCTCTTCCGCGAGGATACTCTCAATGGACTTATCGTCAGGATGCTCACCCATTACCCACACCTGAAATCACAGTTATCAAAAATTATATTAAAACCTCTTAACCGAATACCTAATAAGTAAAAATTTTTGTGATACCTATTGAAAATAGATTTTTCTAAATAATCTAAAAAAATACTAGAGCTGAAGTAGACCAATATTTTAATTTAAATGTATTTATTTTATGGGTAATATTTGAGTTTAAATATACTCAAATATCTAAACATTTTATTAGATGTTGCATAGAAATTATCCTCCGCAAAATGGTTAAGTCGATGTCGAGTCGTTCGACATAATAAATATCGCTGACGAGACCGAATGGTCTGACCTGAATGAGTTTCAAATCGATAACTGGCAAGGAGTTATTGTGCAGTACAGACATCAGTGTAATGCTCTGGTGTTGGAAGCCGAGGTCTTCTTTGGGGCGTTGAGCCAGATCAATAAGTAAATAAGTTGCCGAGATAGGTGACGGGAACGAGGAAAAAAATTTCAATTAAGTGATAAAATAAAAAAAGATATGAAACTCCGAAGTTCACACGACTACCACAATGAATCAAATTTCCGCAATTGATTATGAACATGACTTTCAATGAATTAGAAATTTGACAGATTTGTTCAAACTGATGTGCTCTTGACTGTACAATAAAAGAATTACTATTTACTTAATTTTGTCCCTGACACTTTCCAGCTGCTTAACATTTCCTCACAAAAATCGTATTAAATAAGGGTAAATACACACTTTCAGATTTATAATTGTAGTATGACTTGCTTAAGTTTAGGATTTAAAAGATTTTGCTGTGTTTTGATCAACTAACCAAAAAATATTCCGCTGAGAATAAATAGGTATTACTCGATCGACAGTGTCTGTTAGCCTCGAATGATTTTGATAAGAAATTATTATTGGTATTATACCAATATTATTGGTATTATAACAGTGGAAATATAACCTCGATTTTCAGACTAAAAGCATTCAATAAAGAATGCTTATTAGTAAAAAAACGGAGTTATTATATTTGATTCATATTGCTCTTAATTCATTTCCGCAGAACCAAAAAGACTATTGAAATATATTTTCTTAAATCACCTTGAGTTAATAGATCTTGGAGAACATACTAAACCTTAGATGCCACAACAAGAAATTGATATATTTACTCGTGTATACCTACACGATTAGTTTCTATTTTAAATATTTATATAATCTTTATGTAATGTTATGGATCAAATCATTTCAATTTGAATTTAATGTTTGGCTTTGAATGGCCATGAATGGAGAAAAAGTAAATCAGGCGTAAGAGAAAAAAGCAATTGGATTTGAATAACCAAGTGATCAAATTATCATAGATCTTAATTATAATAGTTTGTCATCATAAGTTGGTATTCTTGGTAAAAAATTGACAACCTAAAAACCAGAAGATCGTGAAGAAGTTGTAGACAATCAGAAAAGGAATATTTGTAAGATTTCTCTATCTTAACTCAAAAGGAAGACCCCTTATGAGCGATTCGGGTGCAAAATAATGTTTACAATGCGACCAAAAAGGTTAAGCGTCCGTTTTTATCAATTACTAGCTTTCGCCAGCGACTTCGCCCGCGTGGACTCTAGGCAAATATTAAGTGAGATAAAAAGTATCCTATTATCTAAGTCAGCTAATACCCTATCTGTATACCAAATTTCATCAAATCCGGTCAGTAGTTTCGGCGTGATTGATCGACAAACATCCAAACATCCAAACAAAGAAACTTTCACATTTATAATGTTATTTTTTTTTGATAATAAGAAAAGTTATTTAAAAATATATATATTTTATGCCTTATTTTGACAAGACCCAAAACTATGTTCCTAAAAGAATTTGCTATTAAAAGTGTATAAAACACATTTCTATTACTTTTTTTTTTAATTTTATATCAATATTTGGCAAGGAATCGTTCAGAATATATATATAATTTTAACAGATTTTTAATATATTTTTGTCAAAAACGTCAGTTCAAATAGGATGTAACCATGACCTAACCTCGGCAATTAAGTACTGAAAATTAGAGTCAGTAACTAAAGGTTGAATACACAAATAGTTGAAATCAATCCACTGAATAAAAATCACACTATATTAAAATTGGTACAGTAGCAATATTTTATTTTATACCATAAGCGGATTAAAATATGTACAATAATGCGCTTTTGTGTTCAGTAGATCTTAATCATAAACGCATGACATTGAAATGTTATGTGCGGTTACATTAACAAAAGTGGGTCGGCCTGTATCTACTTTTGGAAATGATGTAACTGAATATTGACTTTGATTTGAATTATTAAGAATGAAGGCTATAAAAATATTATTAAACTTATAAAGCAATCGGTACACAAAAATTTAAATAAATTCCATCCTAGGTATAATAATTGGAAATAATATTCGTACCTTCACCAGACCAATTAAGGTTCCACAACAAGCACTCAGTAAATACAATAGGCTCTAATATATAGGTACCATCCACTAAACCCCAAATTTAAATAGATCATATATATTTTTCAAAGCTGTGATCGATTTTCAACCGTCAATTTTACTAACTGACACGTAATTCAATTTCGCTACACAACTCACCCACGGCTCTCCATCTTCACCCTTAAGAAACTGTACTTGTTTCTTGTCATTTTTCTGAAACTTGGGACGCTCGTCCTCCTTGCCCACCTTCTGATCCCAGATCTGCCATCGTCGTACCTGGTGGATTGAAATAAAAACGTGGATTGAATTAAATTTAAATAACGTACACTTGCATCCAAGGAACAACAAGGAAAATAAAGCTATTGGATTGGAGGAACTCTATGTATTAAAAAACAGCCTCGAACTCTACGTAGCCTTGAAAATAGAACTTCAATGAAATAAAACCTTTATTACCTTTTGAAATAAGTTTTATTTGATTGACCCTCAAGAATAGCACTATATCAGTAGACTACATAGGCTAGTGATTTTACTCGTTTGTTCCTCTAAATATGGTGAAAACCCATATGTGTAAAAAAAATAACTGCGTTAAAATCACTAAAAAGAAAGAACCTTAAAAAAATACCATGGACATGGAATAAATCCGTGGAGTAATTCAAGCCCTGCAAAATACTCGTAAAAGTTCGACTTTCAAGCTTTGTAATGTTCTACGTTGTTGCCACTACGAGTATAATATAATGGACTCAATTTCAATTTTCTTGAAAATTGCTAGAACCATTTGTCGGTATGTGATTTACAAACTTTTTTTTAATTTGGACAGATAGTTTGAGAAATCTGAGAGTTTTTCTACGGTATTCATGCAAAATCTGAACAATATAAATAGTTTTATTTTACATTTTTAGACACATACTGTACTGAAAGAAATATATAAATTATTCTTCTTTAAAATGTTCACACTTTCTTTGTCATACTGAGAAAGAATGTTAGAACATTTTTGTTCATCGTTTATTTGCAGCTAACTCGATTTAAAGAAAATTTTATTTCTCTTGTCAGATCGACGTACATTTACTTTGAGACTTAGATTTGGAGATTTTAAAATACAATTTATTTTGTTATTCTTTTTAAAAGAAGCTAAATTTGAGGTACTCCTATAATAAACACTTTATACATTTTGCGCATTGACATGAATTTTTTGCATTAACTAATAATAGAAAAAGCAAATGTCTCCGACAACAAAGCAATTAAACGGTTTACCATTAACAAAACAATAGCTAACAAAATTATACTTTTTATACAGTAAATTGATTTAATCCATTTAAATAAATCATGCGTTACGATTCTTGCGGCAGCTTATTACAATGGACACCAAAAAACCTGATTTGGTTATATTTTTACAGAAATCTAAAACACTTTGTTTTAGACCGTATTAGGTATAAATTTAAAAATAATAAAGCACCTTCACCCGAGCGATTAAGGTCCAATTAAGGTACCACAACAAGCACAAAGTCGAAACAATAATAGGTTCTAACATAAAACCACCACCACCAGAGTTTTATAGTACCACCTATAAAACTCAAAATTTAAATACATCATATATATTATTTTTCTCTCAAACTAAAACAAAGTACGATTATTACTTAAATTGAACAATTACCTAAGTCATTAAATATAATGTCCTAATGGTAAACTAATTGAAAGGTAAATCATATTAATGAAACTGTGTGTAGAATACTACCAACTTTAATGAGATTATCTAAAATTAAATGACTATTCTTCAACGAATCCTTTAAAAGTGATGAAGATGATGGCATCGGCAATGCTAATCATTTTCTTCAATTAAAGCAATATTATACGTCTTGTAATCGTATGTAAGGGAATGAGGGGGCTGTTAAGAATACCTGATAATCGTGATAGTTACTCATGTGACATGTCACATATTGAGTTATATCACATATCGGTCATTTATGACTCATTAAACTCGAGAAACGCTTCGAGAGACTTTTCATTAAAACTTTATTCAATTGGATGTTTTATCCGCAATCCCTAAGACCTAATAAAGACGTGTTAGTAAAAAAGGGGCCATATTAACTTATAACACAGGTTCTGGTCAGATTCACGTGCGTGAAGTGAGAGAATAAATAATGAAAAATAATGAAAATAAATTTAAGTTGATAAAACAAAGTTTGGATTAATTTAAAAATCGGCCTATGATTCTCGGAGAATTCGGTGAACATACAAAAATTCATATCCGTAGAACATAGAACTTTCCGATCTTGAAATCGGTTAAAAGCACTTTCGCTTGTTTTTTATTAACACTATTTAATTACAAGACCTTCAATTTCTATCTAATGCCACATTGCGACAATTTCATAGGCAATCAGAAAGTTAACCGTTGCGTTTTATAATACAATAGTTAATCACTCATCAAGGAAATTTCATTTAGTAGTCTGATGCAGCGACAACAAAAAGTTTTTCTCGCATATTCTCACTTAATTAAGCCACAAATTGGCAGCTATTCTTAGTTACAACAAAAACTGTGTAAAATCGCGTGGGGTGTGGTAAGAGGTGTTTTGGTAGCTACATGGGATACGGTTCAAGAGAGACCAATCCAACGGTAGAGTAACCACGCTTTATATAAATACATATTCTTGTCATTCTCATTGCAATATTTAATCCAACTATTGTCGAGAGCACATCAAAAATACCTTCTACTTATTGTTCTTTTATTTTCTTTTTTTTTTATTATAAAAAAGTATATCTACCAGTCTGTCTTATATGATAATACAGAAGAAGGTTGTATGTTCGACGCAAATTTTTTTTTTGTGCATTTTCTCTGCCCATTATAGACAGTTGTTCAAAATTATTATTTTTTATTTAAAAGCTTACCCGCAAATCCCGAGGTGGCACCATAAAATTTAACGAAATCAAAATAACTGGAAACGTAGTATCAAATAACAAACGAAAGATCTCGTAATCTGCTTGTTTTGTTAAGTTGACATCAAATTATCATATATGACTAATTTTTTACCGACTGTATAAAAAGGGGGTTCTTAGTTTGACTTGTATGTATGCATGTATGCGATTATCTCGCGCTTAACTGAACCGATCTTGATGCGGTTTAGCCTTGTGTTTGCCAGACTTAGGAGAAGGTTTTGGGTATATTTACCGACTAAAAAATGGAGGTTCGCACTTAAACATAGTTTTATCGCGGTTTACAGAAAATCATTTTTAGTGTTACCTATTATATAATATAAAAAATATCAATATCACTATAAAGCATGAAATAAAAACTTAAAACTAAATAGAGCCGACTGCATACTTAAAAAAAGTGAAAAATAATACTTATCTCAAAAGCGATTTATTCAAGCAAATTAAGTCGGACACCTATCAATTAATTAATAACCTACAGAAAACTTGAATAATTGACTTTTGAGATAAGTATTATATTTCATTTTTTTTTAACTTTGAAGTCGGTTCTATTTCTTTTTTGTTTTTAGGTTTATATTAAAGACAAATTTATTTCTGTGAATTATCAACACAAGTCTCTGGCCGACTTTAATAAAATTTTCGGGACTATAAAGTACATAAGATGAGTATTATATTTTACGTTTTTGAACTTAACTTTATTTTTTAAATATTTACAATTAGATAAATAGCATAATCACAAATGTGTTTTATTCATTTTACACCGCACATTAAACATGTATAGATGTTTGGTTTTATTTATTAAATTGTGATGTCCTAAAGTTGCCCATCCTGGTCGGAGTTTAGTCAACCACAAGCCAATGATTTGCGAAACCACATCCATTTCCCGCTAAAGTGACAATAACGACCTTGCAAAAGAGACTAATGACGCGTGAAATACTTTTATCCACAAACGTTATTTTGCTAGTAATTGGCTACCTTGCACTGAAGGTATCAGAAATAGATGGAGTGATTAGTGTATTTTTTTTAATTATATGAATACTAGTGGACGCCCGCGACTTCGTCCGCGTGGAAGTCGGTATCCCGTGGGAGTGAGAAGTTTTCCCAGTAAAAAGTACCCTATGTGTTATTCTGATGTATAACCTATATTGCTGTAAAGTTTTATCCAAATCCGTCCAGTAGTTTTTTCGTGAAAGAGTAACAAACATCCATACATCCATACTTACAAACTTTCGCCTTTATAATATTAATAGGATAGATAGAACACTATCTATTTATTTTTCATTGATTTGAAATCATAGCGTAGGAGAAATAATGACTGATAAGTTTTGTCTTTTTCACTTATATATTAGAAACATCGAAATGATGCGAAGGGAAGGTTATGTGTAATATTACGTAGTTATAATAATACTATAATACTCGTAATACTATAAGTACTAGTATTCATTGATTAGATATTATCCTTATTAATTAGACTGGTGCCTGTTAGATTTAACCCTGTATTACATATTACTTGTTAATTCAAAGCTATGGCTTCAGAATCATAATTATGCTGTCATATTCAATGTATCATTTTATTTAAGAACTGCCTTGCATAATGTCTATCATACTTGTTCCTCGCGCATCTTGCAGAATAGCGTCTGTTTCTGTGTCTCGTCCAACTCGGCCAGGATCTCGGGGTCCACCCACATGTCGCGCAGTATCTGCTGCAACATCGTGCCGCCCCTGCAACAAATCAAATAAACAATCAAGTAAAGGTTTAAAATTAAGTATCTTGATCAAATAAAATTAAACAAAAGCAAATAAATACGCTGCCTTGTAACGAAAACAATAATATCTATAACTTGATATTTGACAGTCATGGGTCTCATCTTGAGCCCTTGAGATTGGTGAATTTTTTAAATATTTTTTATTATGATTTAGAAATTTATCAAATTATGTAATTTCTTCTTCTATAATTCTAAATATATATTTCTTCTTCTATAATAATGCATTGGAATCAATTATGTTACATTACAAAAACAAGAATCGATTAACGCAATCTGGTTCTTCTATTAAAACCCCTAAAAGTTTCAATAAGACGATGGATTCTATTAATGTTATTACAGAAATATAGAAATTAAATAAGACCTAACAGCCAATTTATCAATTTGACCCCGACCGAGTCGATGAAGAAAGAAATGAACTGTCGTTGTTTCTGATTTCCATAAGATTCCACAAAAAACTTTTGCTAGTTGTGCACATAATAGGTATATACGTAGAGAATAATAAAAAAATTGTTCCGTTCGATTCCAGTTAAAGATTCTAAAACCATATGGGAGTTATCACATAGGTTTTGAGGGCGGATAGGTATTAAGTATCTAGTATTTACTTAGATTAAATAAACACCAGCATGATAAACTTTTCAGGATTTTTTCAATTTGGAAAGTTTATAAAGAAATGCAAAGAATTTTGCGTTCCACTTCTTATCAGGAATTACAATAAAACTCTACCAAAAAACTTGTCTTTCGATGCTCCAGCGAAAGTGATCAATTACGGTACATTTGTTTAATTAAACAGCCGCTTTCCTGGTGCAGTATGGTCGAATGGACGCCCTAATGGCCAATAATGACCCACTACTGTCATTCCTTATGTATTTTTTCCGCATATGGGCAATACGGAATACTATTCGCTCTATTGCTCAACACTGGACGACCTTTGGTGGTATAAAAAACGGTTCCTAAGAATACAAAACCAGTTTTGGATCCATACGCATTATAGATGCAGCAGCTGATGTATATGTTAATGACAAAGATCGATAAGCAGTCTTTTCCTGGAATGACTGATTTATCCTAGATATATCCAACTTTTAGAAAAATTGTGCTGTTCGATTTCGTCTCAAGTAGTTTTGTGAAACCTAGAATTACCTGAACTTTTAGTCCAACATCGAAATTAATATCGGTCCCAGAAGAGACTAAGGACGACCCCATCAGAGGTTATATTTTGCATACTGGACTTATATTCTTATATACATTCTAGTCTGTGTGATGATATTCTAATAAACTCATTTGTTATTTCATATTTGTACATTTTATTGCTCAACGTGCGGGTAAATAAGCTCATAAAGATTCATATTACGAATAAATAAAGGTATAAGCACTTCTTCAAATTTTTTCAATCAATTATTATAATATAAAAATAACTTTGAGATTAAAATAGTAGTTGTTTTATTTTCTAGTTCAACAATTCCTTGAACCGGCCCTGTAAGTAAAACCACAAATTTCATAAAATAAAATTTCGGCATTTGACTGTCTAAATAAGTCTCCTAGATTAGACAAAATAGCGTAACCATAGGCCGAAAAACTTCATATATTTGAATTTTCACCAAGACCAAGACTTATCTAGTCAAACCTAGGAGCACCGGAATTTCAATGGGTGACTGTAATTAATATATCATATTTTGATGCGGACGATTTGGGTAAAAATCTTATATTATCGTATTTACTTCCATAGTGTAAAAAGAGTTACCATTTGTTAAATATTCAAAACTAGATATATATTTTTATACGTCTGGCTTTCATAACCAATCATAAAGACAAATTCAACGTCGATACACCAACAATGACAAATAAATGACAAGATACAACAAATATCTAAAGAAATTTGGTTAACCATAAAAACATCTCCTTTGTGAAATGTACACATGAATCGACTGTTTTGAAATTGAAACTGAAATTATAGTTGATATTTTATCAACAATTGAGGTTCATTTGTTATGAATATACTGAGTCAGATCGTTAACCTTGTTTAATCAGATATGCATAACGATCATAGCATTTTTGTCATTAAACTAAACAATCCCAATGGCAGAAACTCATTTTGCAATCTTACAGTAAAATTGAAAACAACAGTTTGTAATATGTCTCATTACATTGTAAACTAATATAGGTTTGGGTTAGATTAGGTTATAATAATTGTAATAATATTATTATGATTAGAATATGAAAAAACTATACTTACAGTTTTACGGTGACATACATTTAACGATTACTTTAAATGTGAAAAACCACAAATGTAGCGCTATTTTTATATTTTTCAGACCGTTTAACGCCATTTTATTAGTTATTAATACAAACATCGGTAAAATAACTGTAAATAACGGAGGTTTTATAACTACAGTTAATAGGGTTTAAATGTGTTATTTATTTTCTCTTACCTACAATTAACAAGATAATTGAATTTATTTAGCATCATAAAATCTCTCTCTTAAACCTACAAACATTATGTACCTATAATTATGCATAACGTAAAAGAAATCAACATGTAAGTTTTGTTCAACAGTACCAGCAAGTCACCAACTATAGTTTTATCTCACAGTATTTTTCTGTTACGGATATAAATTAAACAATGTCGCATACTAAGTTGTCAGACCGGGCAGCCACACCACAAAATAGGCGCGCGCGCATACCACACGCTGCGTATTATTTAGTTCATTTAACTCCACTGTCTCGTCACAGTACCAACTTACCTTCAAACTGTTCTAGAAATCTGGCATGCGTTTTGAAATTATAATTAACCTTGATAAATTTACAATTAACTCCAGTTTTGCAAGAATAAATCCTTATCATTATTAGCCTATCCCCACTGCTCGGGCACTGGTCTTCCCTAAGCATGAAATCAGTCAAGGAGAACAGGTCATAACCCAAAACGTGGGCCCAATGCAGATTGGTGTTTGTTAATGACTGCAAATGCACGACCAATGGCTTTATGTGCCTACCGAAACACGGAGAAGTTTGAGATAATGATTTTTTCGTCACCCATCCTCCAAATTCATTTTAACTCTGTAGTCTTTACGCTTTTCGAGTCCTTTTTAGTAGATTTACTCTTACCTAAATACGCCTTGCCGCATTTCTGCTACAAACCGGCAATAAATGGATTGTAAGTTGATTAAAGACGTATATCCGAATTAAGCCTCTTTTAACTACGATAAATAATTAATGTTTCTTCAATTTTGGCAGATGTCTTGGCTAATACATTTCAAACTTAAGAGATATCGCGTTTTCGAACTTTACCAATCGTTGCTTCCGTAATAATAGTACGAGATCCCACTGCAGTTTTCTGTTTTATTATTGAAACTTATTTTTTATGATAGATCTAATTGTAAGATAGATGAATAGATTGCAACAGGGTAGCCTGTCAAAATGTAGCTGCAACTATTTTTAATAATTTTTTGTAACTATTTTTTGTTGATAAATTGGTTGATAAAGTGCATAAGGTTGAACAGATGCCGCTTTTTGAAGTGAATTCAGACGCCAGAGTGAATTCGAATTCGGGTTTGGATTTTTACAGAATCGATGAGCAGCACAGAGTATGCCACCTAAATGTGTTCGCCGTGATAAAATTGATCATTAGCAGAAGTAGGACGATGGAACTCGTTGTAAATACCATATATATAATTGTAATAATATTTTTTTCAATATTTCAGTTTTATTTTTATTAAGTATTTATATACATTATGTAGTCCAATGACATAGACTTTTTGAGATATTCAGCGCCGTTACTATGCTGATAGATTTTTCTTATGTTCTGTAGAGGAGAACAAACCGAAAACTATTTTGTTTTTAATAAAATAAAAATCAAGCATTTAAGATTGTCATACGCATTGTAGGTTTTAATGATACTATTTTTTTTTATTAAGTTCTTTCTTGTTGGACTTCTTGTTCATATAAACTTTAACCGTGTTATTATAAAAGAGGAACTTTAGTCCTCGTTTTATAATAAGACAGCAACTTTTATAAATTTCATACTCCTCTGTCCACGCAATTTTCATAAAAAGTGGTCCAATGTTTTGCTTCTCGTAATAATGATGATGATAATAATAAAACACATCACACCACGTGAACAACATCCGATTTTTTAATATAGCAAAAACGTGACAATACCATAATTACAGACTCAATTTGATAATCAAATTCTGACACAGGTCTGATTCTCTTTCAACACTGCAATACCTTTAAAGCACTTAAAGTTGACTAGTCCTAATAGCATAGCATCGGAGTCGTGCTCAACTGACAATGCACTCGTGACTTGCGCTTGCGCCATACCATGAGCCACGTACCTTCAGTTTAAAAGTGAAGGTGATTGCGAATACTAGCACCAGCAACTGTAAACATACAGCTTTAAAGTTCATGTATAAGTTCAGCATTAGACTTACGCACGCTTATAGAAGAAAAGAGACAGTATAAAACTTCATTATCACGTCTCAGTGGCAAAAAGCGAAGTAACTGATTTTTGAGTTTCCCTTTGTGTAGGCAATGACGAACTGTCAACCCATTTAGTCAAATGAGTCACCCAAAATCAACGCCATATTTCACTTGTATAAATCGTCCCACACAGTTGTCTGTCTGATAGCTAAGTTATGACTTTAATGTGTGTATTAGATAACACATTGTTGTATTAGAGATACTCACTCTACTATTAAACTGTGAAAAAAAATCCAATGTATTACTTTCATTAAGAATAATAAAACAAGTTTCATTTCTCAATTTTTTAAAAATTATAATGTATGTAGACACTGCTCAATGAACACAATCTTTCGTCAGTGATGAAGAAAGTGACGCCCGCGCATGCTTCAGCGACAAAAGGTCAAGGGCACATGGGGCCATTGTTCTGGTTCGTATGCGAGCTTTGCCTACCAGTGATGTGCCGTCTTGCAAGTTCTACGCAGATTATAGTA